ATTAACAAGTCTTCTGGTGTAGCTGGTGTGCGTCTCGTTTTTTGCTGTGCCGATCTTAATTCCCAGGTCTGCCATTCTGGCGAGTGATGTGGATTCACTGCCACCAAAGTCCTCTATTCTTCCCATTTCTCTGAGGGCATTGATAATATCAGCATGATCCATAGGTTGACCGTCGGTAGTGATAGCGGATCCAGCCAACCTGTCAGCTCTTTCATTTCCATCGACGCCTGCGTGTCCCGGAACAAAAATAAAGGTGACTCCACGAACAGTGGACTTCTGTAATGATTCAAGCCATTGTCTTCGCACTGAACCTGCCTGAACCCTCCGGATCATACTCATTGAATCACTGAGTATACACACGCGGGTGTATTTTTGTGTTTCAAGCCAGGCAAGCGCTTGTGTCACTGCCATCACCTCCATCGTCATGCTGCTGGTTGTCATGGAGAAGGCGCCGTTGGCTTCTTTGACTGTTCTGCCCGCTGAGCGTGCTGTAAATGCCCATGCGCTTCTTCTTTGGCGTATAACGGATCCGTCTGTATAGATTATTGCATCTGCTTCGTCTGAATTTTCACCGATGAGAGCGTTGACCTCTGCATTAACAGCAACAGGATTCTCTTCTCTACATCGCCTGTTGAGTGTGACAATACAGGAAAATGTACAAATAAACGCCTGAGGCACAGGTATCCATTCTGCACCAGGTATGATGTCGGTTAGGCTGCATATTTGCCTAATGACATCTTCTGCCCGACCTAGCCACGATTTCCCCCTCTTCAGTCTGTCGCCCTTTTCACTAAAAAGTGCTTGATGCAGTGGGTGTTTCTTATCAGCGCATATTTTGAGATATGCCCGAGCCCTCCACATCCTGATCCTTTGGTTCATTGTTGGAAAGTCAAGTAGATACCTCATTGCTCCACAGGATGTGTCTCTAGTACATCCCAAAATAATGCGCATGGCTTCATTTTGCACCTTTTCGAGTCGTTCAATCTGGGTAGCACTGACAGTGAGGATGGCCAGAGCGTATTCTATGGGGGAAAGGACCAGACCGTAGAATAGAAGTATTAGTAGTCTTTGCTCAATATTGGAAGCAGCCATAATCCTCATTGCAGATAGACCTTTGCGTGCTTTTGTTATCACATGGTCAACGTGTTCCCTGAATGACAAGCTGCGATCGAACCTCACCCCGAGAAACGTCATAACGTTGGTTCTGATCAATGCATTATCACGCATTTTCACTTCTGGTAAGTCCGACTTGACAATGTGATTGTTCAAAGAGAACCATGACACTGATGCCTTCGAAGGATTGACATAGGCATTGGAACCATCACACCAGGCGGCAATTCGATCGAGTTCTTTGTGCATACCATACCCTACCAGACCTGAGGCCCTGAACCTAACTGCCCCCTACACCTGATCTCCTGGGCATTAACACGAAAAAAACCAACATCTTCTTCTTCTTCAGCGTTCCGAGCCCTTGAGGTTCTTTGCTGCAAATATCACCCGCTTCCACTCATCTCTCTGGTTGGCCTTCTCTTTCCAGTTGGTGACACCAAGTGTTTGCAGGTCTGTCAAGACATTATCTCTCCTCGTCTGCCTAGTGGTCTTCGACCATTCCCTTCACTTGTGTATACAAGATTATGAAACCAACATGACATACAAAAATATTAGCTACATGGAAACAAGTAGTTAGAATAAGTTTAAACTTGTAGACATTGTAGAAAATAGGTTTACCTTTCATCTAGCACCAATCTTCCCCCTTTGTGTGCCAATCCACCCAGCAGGATGAGCCTTGTTTCACAAAGTGAGCATCAAATGTTACTGTTTGAGAGACACGCCCCCCTTCTGTTACTATCGATCTAGTTCTAAATCTATAAACTTCAAGATTCTCCTCATCACTCGAGCTCTCACTGACTGTATCACTTCAACTAGGAACGTATTCTTGATGAAATTCTGACTCCTCAGAGTCTAAATCAACCAAAGTATCGATCACATGTTGGACTGTGAAAGGCCTAGACTTACTTCACGTTCCTGTCGAAGTGCTTGGTTCATCAGCTGCTCGTTTCATTGTGAATTTTCAGAATTTGTTTGCGTCAAACCACAAAAAGTACATCCAAACACACATGGGCAGCCATTTGCAATGACTAACCACAAGGTTTGATCACAAATGGTTGGTTATTTTTAGTTTGTGACGCGTTTTATCACGTAGTAAGCAAAGCACCTAAAATTTGGTACAGCGGTTTAGCAGCAGATTAGGAAATTACTGGAAAAGCAGTACAGCGGTCTGGTAGAGTTAATAATATAAAATTCTACAGTGCAGACCTGATAAGGAGAATTCACCGGGGACCTAAAAATAGTCTTTCTTATCATAAATTCCTCTTATAAGAGTTAAATCAAGAAAATTTGCTAGGGATAAACAAATTGTTCTCCACATCAGAAATCTGCCACACCTTAAGTCTTCTGCTCTGTCTACCATCTCTATATTATTAGTGCACAGAGAAGCCCTAAATCTTGCCTGCAAATTCAAAAATAAAATGTCCTGTCTGGTTAAAAAAAATTCTGCAAATTCAAAAATAAAATGTCCTGTTTGGTTTAAAAAAAATTTTTTTTAAATAATGTTTAAAGTGAAAATGGTGAGCATGTTCATGTATATGAGTGCCAGCCTGATGCTCTTGTGTTATAGTTACATGATAAAATACCAATCTGCACCCAGTTAAAATGAACAGTTCTTGGCAACACTAAAATCTTGGATCTTCTATGTTTTTAGAACATTGACCAAAATATGCATTTAAGCAATTTGCCCGTTTTCCCAGGGTTTTTGATGACATGAAGTCTTCAGGCAGTGGCCACTACGCCTATATAACAGCTCTGGTACTGGCTGTAACTGCATAGTGTCTAGACATGGTGCGTATGACTATTCATATATATATATATATATATATATGATATATATATATATATATATATATATATATATATATATATATATATATATATATATATATATATATATATATATATATATATATATATATATATATATATATATATATATATATACATAATATATGAATATTATATATATTATATATATATATATACATAAGGCTGTGAAGTTCAAAGTTTGAACAATGGATCAACATCATTGCACATATGTATTAACCCATAAGTGCCCCGTTCTTCTTCTAACTCAAATATGTTGGGTAGATTTTTAACTCCGAATTTTGCCCGGTCAGCACAGTTAGGCTACTCTTTTTCGATTTCCAACCGCCAATGAATTTTTTACGTGCGCAACAATGCACACGGGCGTCCGATCTCACTACCCAGAGACCAGGAGGAATTACTAGAAGTCCAAGCCCACATGAAAGAATCCCAGGCCTTACTGGGGATTGAACCCAGAACCTCTAACACTCTAGGCAGACAACGTGCCTCGAGACTACGTAGCCCCCCTCATGAACCCCAAACCCCAAGCACAGTATAACACCATCCTCGGAAAAGTTGGGAAGAGTCCAATAAAACTAAAATAAATATGTATTCAACATAAACAAATGAAGCCCCCAAAAAATTTTGCGTGGGGGGGGGGGGGGGGGGGGGGGGGCGCAGGGGGATAGGTAAATTTACACAATCATTTACATCATCAATTTCCACTTTTGTCATCAAACGTTGTGGGGAGGAACAGTTTGCGATCCATCGCTTGATGGTCAGCCATGGCTATTGTCATTCCGTGTCAGTGTAGAAGCTCTTTAATGTCATCAATCCATATTCTCCTAGGCATCCTCTTGAATGCATTTCTGATTGTTTCATATGCCGCGCCTGCGTTGGTTGTTGTTCTGGCTTCTTCTTCTTCTTCACTTCCTCTTTTACCGCTGTGGGTGTCGAAGGAGATATAAGGTTCTGTTTCTAGCTCTTCTGGCTGCCTTGACCATAGGCACATCGTGCTGTTGTAGAGTTTCTCTGATGTTATCCTTCCATCTTGTTCTTGGTCTACCCCGTGCTCTACGTCCTTTTTCTCTTTCCATGTATGCTTTGTATGGTATGGTGTCACAAGGCATTCTCTCTAAGTGGGCAAACCATTTCACTTGCTGTCTTTGCATGTAATCCAGAATTGGTTCTGTGCCGACTTGTTCTCTTATGATCTCATTTCTGATCTTATCTCTTATGGTCACTCCTACAGCCCTTCTCAGACATCTCATTTCCGTGGTTACTAATTTTCTTTTATGTTCTGGCTTCATTCTTACTAAATGACCAAACCATTTCATCTTCTTTTTCTCAATGAATTTGCCGCATGGCGTTGTTTCTACAATCTGTCTGATAGTATCATCTCTAACTTCGTCTCAGATGGATAAATTGGCGACTTATCTCAGGCATCTCATTTTGCAGGTGTTAATTTTATGTAGGTTAGCCTTTGAAATTCACACAATGACAAAGCAAAAATGTATAATCCATGCAACTATCATGTCGCTACAAAATGTGTGTGTTTCATTTTATACTTATCTTTCTAAGGATATTTTCTTCTATGAGAATGCTCAATGTTCGGTGATGAACTGTGACAACATAACACTGTCTTTACATGACCTTTTTATCTAAAGTGTTAGTTGTATGTTCTTCATAGGAAGTTGCAGAACAACCTCCCCTGAATAATTTTAAACCCACCTCTCTTATACCTGTGGTCACTCGTTACCACCCACCTGGATCATTCCAACACCTATTACATCTGTGGCTACCATCCCTCCCATGAGTCATTCTGACACCCCTTTATTATATCTGTGACTACCATCGCTTCCTTAAATATTCTAACATTCCCTTATTACATTTGCGGCTACCACCCTCTTGGATTGTTCCAATGCCTCCGAGGGTGTTATGCCTCATTTTGGGAATCTATGGTCCAGCTGAATTATATATTTAGTCATGCAAAGTGCTTTTTTTATTTGGGTTTCATTTGTGAATACATGCTCATTGGGGTATAAATACTTTGAGAAACATATATTGCACAAAAGGACCTAGGTTTAATGCTTGCGTGAGTAGTCCATGATAAACTCTGGATCAAAATAAACCACAGTAATTGTTATATCATCCCGATAGTCACGGACCAGCTTTTCTGGCAACGCTAACTGGGCAGAAATCTGGCCATGTTCCAGGCCGAGTGCGTGACGAAGTAGGTGAGTCGTCACATTTTTGTCCACAGCTCTTTTAGCTAGGTTCTGTTTCCGTTTCCGCAAGGTTTCGTTGATAGTACCCAGCAGCGCACCTTCCGGGGGGCGAAAATGCGTCAAGACTTGCTGACCTTCTGTGTGGTGGCCGACCAAGGATACGACTTTATCTGCAGTCATGCCATCCGAATCCCATAAACCATCTGAGGCTATGACAAGAAACCTGTCCCGTGGAGACAATCGGTAGCGAATAACCTCCGGCTGGGCATCCAAGTATGGCGGAGTGCGATATCTTCCTGGCAACTTCAAATCCTTATACATGCTAAAATAAGAATTGGAACTTTGGCCTGCAATTTTTCTCAGATGCAAGAGATCCCTTTTCTGCCATTTATAACGAACGTCACCGAAAGCTCGAAGCGGCATCAGTTCACCAAACAACCTACCATACCTCAGAATATTATTAGATTCATTAGGATGCCGTGCAAACAGGCGCTTGACTTCATCTGGATTCTCTGCGTCGTGTTTATGGCTGAGATATGATGCATGCCAGGTTTCTGACTCGGTAGAGTGACTCCCGATAATGGCCTGGCTGTCTCCCACATTGGCCACGTAGAGATCTAAGCCGTCAATGAAAGCCACACAACCCACGGCTCCAGAAAAAGCTATGTTCACAAGGTCAGCTGACAGTCCCTCGTCGCCAGGGTGGAAACCAGCCTCGGTGGAAATGTCCTGATCCAAGCGCATGAATGCATTTGTCAGAGCTTCCTCTATCTGAAAATTTAAAACTATAAATTATTTCATGAATTAATTCAGACACTTTTTAACTCTTATCAACTCAAATTTTCTCTAAACACTGTGACCAGGTCACGATGTTTAACTCCTGCCAGCCAGATGCTCTTGTGTGTAAAGGTTAAAAGGTAAAGTCGGGAGACGTGAACCAGCGTCATTGCACATGGTTATAAACCATAAGTGCTCTGCCACCAGTATGTGTGTGTGCTAGGTGGTCAGGGGGTCTGACACCAGGGGTGATTTTTTTTACAAAACACAGGGCAACTTTTACAAAACATAGGAGAAGAAAAGATACCACACAAGTGACTAAATATCTTATCTTATAACTTGAGCAAAGAAATATATATAACTTGAGAGTAGAACATATACTACACAAGTGACTAAATATCTTATCTATAACTTGAGAGTAGAACAGATACTACACAAGTGACTAAATATCTTATCTATAACTTGGGAGTAGAACAGATACTACACAAGTGATGAAATATCTTATCTATAACTTGGGAGTAGAACAGATACTATACAAGTGACTAAATATCTTATCTATAACTTGGGAGTAGAACAGATACTATACAAGTGACTAAATATCTTATCTACAACTTGGGAGTAGAACAGATACTATACAAGTGACTAAATATCTTATCTATAACTAGGGAGTAGAACAGATACTATACAAGTGACTAAATATCTTTTCTACAACTTGGGAGTAGGACAGATACTACATAAGTGATGAAATATCTTTTCTACAACTTGGGAGTAGAACAGACACTACACAAGTGATGAAATATCTTTTCTACAACTTGAGAGTAGAACAGATACTACATAAGTGATGAAACATCTTATCTACAATTTGAGAGTAGAACAGACACTACACAAGTGATGAAATATCTATAACTTGAGCGAAGAACAGATACCATACAAGTGATGAAATATATATAACTTGAAAGGAGAACATATACTACACACGTGACTAAATATCTTATCTCTCATTGGAGAGTAAAACAGATACCACAAAAGTGACTAAATATTTTATCTACTTCTTGGCAGGAGAACAGATATCACACAAATAAATACATACCTATTTATTATTTGAGAGATTCTTCTTTGTCCTCTTCTTCTTTGCACTTACCACCAGCTGTAAGCTCTAGCAGAAAGTTCTGGTTGCTCATCCACTTCTGGACTTTGGTCTTGTTCCAGAACTTGAGTTTTGCAACACAGAAGGAAGTACCCATAATTAGCTGCCTTTTAGGGCATGCTTGTAAGGGAAGCAGTGGGTCCAAAATGAGACCCAGAACCCACACAGGGAGTATATGAGAGAAAAGGACAACAGTACATAAACAACTGCATACCTTTCCAACCACTAAGATAGAGAGGAGGAAAGAAAGATCCTTACAAATAACTCTACAAACTATCTACCCTTGCATGGAATAGAATGTTTAATTAAGAATCGATATCATAGCACTCAATACACTAATAAGCGCTCCCTCCCTGTCTTCAGCCGTAAGCAAAGAGTTCCAATTGGGAATGGCACCAGTAACTGATTCTACATTCGTCTCGCCTTTTCCTTGAATGTTCAGGGTTGGCCAGATCCTCTGGTAACTCCCTGCAGCGTCATTCTCCTCAGACCGTAATGATCTATTTGTGCTTCCACACCGTTCACTCGCTCCCAAAGGGCCCTCACAACATCTAGCTTGTCATACATCAATTCACCATCAAGTGGTGCAGAACCAGTCAGTCTATCTGCCTGCTTGTTTCCCAATACACCAGCAGAACCTGGAGAAAGTAACCAAACGATGCTAACAACCGGGGAACTCTGAAGCTCCCTGCTTGGAGAAGAATGCAAGAACTACACAGGCAGACCCCCCCCCCCCCCTTCCCCCCCCCCTAGAACTCACATTGGTATCCATACAATACATGTCCATAGAGTCCTGTATAAACTGCAGCATGCTTTGCCAGTGTATGCCAGCCAGGTCCGAACTGACACTCTCCACGGTTGATGTCTGCAAGTATTCTACCAGTTTATCTGCAGCTGTTGCCCCTTCCTGGTAGAGATGATTCAGCTGATCCGTCTTGGCCATGGCTATGGCGATGTACTTAAACAGCCTCTCTTTGACCGCCTGGGCACAAGCACACCCAGCATGACCGTCAAACACCCCAAACAGGTATTTATTCGTACCTGCCAGTTTGGCTTCTATGTGTCGGTCTTCAATGGGTTTATTTGCCTGAAAAGAAAGAAAAATTATGATAAATAATTTAATTTGGTTTAGACCCATACGTTGGATCCAGGGTCAGTTTGTTTTTTAAGAAAAGAGGGATGGTGAGGGGGAGAGATAGAGCCATGGGGCCTTAATAAAGTAAACCAGTGGTCAGGCCTTGGGTGGTTACCGGCTAAGGAAGCACATCCTGAAAGAAAAGCACAAAGATGGAGACACCAGGTCGAAAGGCACAGATAGTATGGGAGAATATTTTCTCACAAACATGACGTCACGCATACCTTCTTGAATGTCAGAAAACCCTAGCAGGAATGAAGACTGTAGTGTTTAATCTTTAACACTTCAGTGAAACCAGATCACGGTGAGCCCAAAGTGGCAACTGTACAACGTCACCCCTCGCAAATCTTGACGAAAAGCCTAGATAATATATCTATCAGAGGGACAAGATGAACGAAGAAGACGTGTGCACTGGAATGCAGAGGGAGTCCGCAACAAAAAAGCTGCACTCACAAAACAACTTACAGAAGGAAATATTGACATTGCCTGTATACAGGAGACCCACCTGTCAGATAAGCACAGATTCTGTATTAGAAGCTTCCAGTGCTTCAGACAGGACAGAGAAAATGGTCTCAATGGAGAAGTCCTCATCCTAGTGAAAAACAGTATCCCAGCAGCTAGTCTTACTGTGAACACAGAACAGGAGTCTGAGATCATGGGTGTCAGGCTTAACATTGCAGGCAAGGAAATTGTATTATACAATTGCTACTGCCCTCCAAGCAAAGAACTCTCCTTATACAACATGAGTATCCCAGATAATGATTGCATCGTTCTAGGAGATTTTAACAGCTGCTCTCCAAGCTGGGGACATCCACAGCTAAACCAGAGAGGAGAAGAAGTGGAGGACTGGCAGACATATGCCAGACTCCAGCTAAGCAACAAACCAGATGATTCCCCATCTGTTTTCTCCAGGAGATGGCTTTCAACCAGCCGCCCAGACTTAACATTTGCTATGTTACACTTGGCAAGCAACATACACAAAACGGTGCTCAGCCAACTAGCAGGTAGTGACCACCGACCGATCCTGATTTCTGTTCTAAATATGAGAGGCCTTCATTCGATGCCGCCCCCTCGTTGGAATTACAAGAAAGTTGACTGGAAAAGTTTTGCTAACCTTGCTGATGTATACTCGATAAATGTAAACGGCAAATCAAGTCAGGTTGCTAAATCAGTAAAAGAGTTTACAGAAGCTATATTAAAAGCAGCCAAAGAAACCATACCTCGGGGTTCAAGGAAAGATCACATCCCATTTTGGTCCCAACAAATTCAAGACCTCCACCAAACTCTCTCAGAAGCAAGAGATAGAGTAGAAAGCAACCCAACAGTAGAAAACAACATTACTTACAAAGCAGCAGAAGCTAAGCTCAAAAAAGAAACAATCCAAGCAACTAGGAAGAGTTGGCAAGACAAGACCAAGAGCCTAAGTTTTGAAAAAGATGCGTCTAAACTCAGAAAACTAGTCAAGTGTCTAAATGGAGAAGCCCAACAAGCCAGTCCCAGTAGTAATAAATGAGGGCAATGAGATCAGATCTGGAAACGATGCTGAAAATATCTTTTTAAATCAGTTTAAATCTGTTAGTGATATTAATACAGAATATTCCAGAGAAGATGAGGTAGTACTAAGAATTAAAGAACTCGAGGAGGCCAGCAAGAGTAAACCAGCAGAGAGCATCATGACAGATAAATTCTCAATGAGTGCACTTAACACAGGACTCAACCAGCTGAAATCCAACCAAGCTCCAGGCCCCGATAAAATCACGAATGATATGTTACTACACATGGGTCCAAGTGCCAAAAAGAAATTATTAAACATCTTTAATGCCAGCTGGATTTTTAGTATAGCTCCTCCAGCCTGGAGGAAGTCTGAAATCTTCGTAATCCTAAAACATGGAAAGCCGAAGAACAACACAGACAGCTACAGACCCATCAGCCTCACTAGCTGTCTGTGCAAACTATTTGAAACATTATTGAACAACCGACTGACCTGGTTCCTAGAGAAAAACTTCAAGCTAATGAACAGGCAGGTTTTTGACATTGTAGATCAACAGAGGGCCAAATTACATTTATTGCTCAACATATTGAAGATGCATTCCAGGAAAAAAAGCACATTATTGCAGTCTGGGTGGATATGGAAAAGGCCTTCGACAAAGTGTGGAAAAATAGGCTGAAACAAAAGCTACTTGAAAATAGAATATCCCATCACATGATTGGGTGGATCGCAAAATATCTTGAAAATCGATCTGCAAGAGTCAAGATACAGGGTTCAAGGAGCAGATCAGTCACAATGAAACATGGAGGTCCACGAGGCGGAGTTATGTCCCCAATTCTTTTCTTCGTTTACATTAATGACAAAAAATCAACCCTCTGTAATGGAGTTCTAACTGTTATGTATGCCGATGATCTGGCGCTACTGAGTTCAGAGAAGGACACTGGAAAAGAACAGACAAAGCTTCAAGAATCCCTCGGAACTCTAGAGAAGTGGTCCAATAGTTGGTACATGCCTGTAAATGGGGCCAAAACCACACACACCATTTTCAGTCTTTCTACCAAACCCCAGAAAGTTTCACTTACATATGGCAGTCAGGCACTGAAACATGATGACTCACCGTCATATTTAGTAGTAACCTTTGACCCAAGACTCACATGGAGAAAACAGATAGAAAAGACACAGAGCAAGGGACTCAAGAGAACTCAACTGATGAGGAAGTTAGCTGGAACAGACCGGGGGGCAAACCTCAGTGTCCTCAAGAGGACCTAACCTGGCTATGTGAGGCCAAAACTAGAATATGGAATAGCTGCTTGGGGCACAGCAGGTAAATCAAATTTTCAGAAAGTCTCAAAGATCCAAAACCATGCTCTCCATATTATGACAGGGGCAATGCGCTCCACGCCCATATCAGATATGGAAACAATTACTGGTCTCCATAATCTGGAAGATAGGAGAGACACAAAGCTCCTCACCCAGCTCTCCAAACACCACACTTTAAAGAACAACCCATGCACAGCCGACTATAGAAACCCCAGAACGGTAGACGTAGGAGAACTTGTTTTATTAGGAACACAAATGCCAAGCTCGCTGTCCTTAAACTCCCTCCCATAATACCAAATGTTACACTGAAACCTTACGACGACTGCCCCCCTTGGCTTAGGGATAGCCTGCCAACAGTCAGAACCACTGTAGCAGGGATCTCCTCCAAATCATCAATGAGCAGCACTGATATGAAATCAACTACAGAAGGAGAGATTAATAAACTTTATCCACACCAGAGTTGGATTTGAGTGTATACAGATGGTTCAGCCAAGAGAGCAGTAAAAGACGGAGGAGGAGGAATATATATAGATATGCCCAAATGGTTTAAAAATCAACCATGCTGTACCAACAGGTTCATATTCCTCCAATTACAGAGCAGAGGCAGAAGCACTTCTAGCGGCATGTTCTTTCCTGAATGGACAACAGCACAGCAAATATAGCAGAGTGGTCTTTCTGACTGATGCTATGTCAGTTCTACAAGCAATTGGTAACCCAAGAGACACTCAGTTTGTAGACTTGACGCAACAGCTGATTTACTTAGGCTCTTCAGTAGAACAATCTGTACTGCAGCGGATTCTAGGTCACTGTGGCTTGGAAGGCAATGAAATAGTGGACAGATTGGCCAGAAGCGGAAGTGACATGGTACAACCAAATAGCGACCTAACCCACCAAGAGATGAAAACATTAATGCTATCGAGTATCCAAGAAAGGTGGCTGAATACCCACACCAGATTTTCTCCCCAAAACTCGCTTCATCACCTCTCTAGAAAGGGAAAGTGTATTATATTCAGACTAAGGACTGGGCACAACAGATTTCGTCAACATTTGTTAAAATTTTTCGGTGTCGGAAATACGGAGACGTGTCCCTGCAGCGTGGCACCCGAAAATGCTGAGCATGTGCTCCAACACTGTCAACTGTATGCTGACATCAGAGACGCAATCTGGCCTGTCCCAACTACATTGAAGACAAAACTGTATGGTACACTAAAAGATATGGATTGCATGATAGCTTTCATAAAGGCTACCAGCCTCCTGATATAAGTTTTCTGACAGAAGGATCGAAGAAGAAGACTAAAGGTGACTAAGAAGGGATCTGTCGAGCTAGCAGATACATCTGAAATAAGAGCAGGTGTGTGACAGAAATATTTGTGTCGCCTTTTTTATTTCTACTGGCAACAGACTGGACTATGAGGAAAGCAACTGCTAACACAAGGCCCTTGGACCCCTACAAAACAGCTTGATGATCTAAACTTCCCCGATGATATTTCTGGTAATTTGGTAATCTTAGTTTCAGCTTCAAAGCAAACGGGTCACCCCATAGTTACTCCGCTCCTAAGCCAACAAAAAAACACATGAAGCTCACAGTGTCACGCCATGCACTCAACTCAGAAGCTGGGCGACAAAACTATATCCTTCCAGTCTACAAATGGAGCAAAAGTGCAACGGTCACCACCTTCTGGCGGCTAAAAAAAAAGAAGAAAAAAAGTGGTCGTGCCTAGCATCCATTTTGCCCTGAAGCATTATATGAGGGTTAATAAATGGTCACCCCAGCAGTACCCACATTATTAGCTGGGGAAGGGACTTAGGACATTACATCCACCAGCAGGCGTCGCCCCTACAATGATCTGCCTGCCTTCGTTAACGACTGTTCACCCAACAGCCATGCAGTTCTTTGGCACGAAGGAGACACCTTGAACTTGGGTTTTGGACTGCCAACTCCCTACAGGATGTTGTTTTATGTTTTGTTATCACAATTGATGTCACTGCACATTGGGCATACCCATGCGTGCTCAGTTCTCTGAAGCAGCAGCCACTCCAAAGTACTTCTACTAATTGTCCCCATGAGAAGCTGGTTATATTGTCTCCTTTCTCGGCCTCGAAGACGGCAAAGACATGCATCACCATGCTTACTCGAAATTAGGAAATTTGAGAACGTCAAAAGAAATTAAACTAATACTAAACTGAAAACTGTTAATTTCAATGTCAAATCTGTACTGCTGTTTGGAGCGGAAACATGGAGAACAACTAACGCAATTTATATTCATCAACTGGTGCCCATGCATAACAGGAGAAATTAAATGATATGATATAGAATCACTAATGTTAAGCTTTGGGAGAGAAATGAACAAGTTCCACTGGACTAAGAGGTGAAGAAAAGATGCTGGCATTGGATAGGACACATGTTGAGAAAACTTGAGAACAAACTAGAATGTCTTTGCATTGGAACCCACAGGTTACAGAAATAAAGGAAGACACAAAAAAACATGCAGAAGGGAGTTAGTGAAGTTAAAAAGATGGTGAGGACTTGTGCATGCAATACTAAAGGGCAAAAAGACTTGGCATGAATTGGTCGAGGGCCTATGCTCCATTGAGGGACAGAAGGCAGAAGAAGTAGGGATTTGTTGAAATTTCAAATGTTAGGTTGAAAGGAATGGATATCACAACTTAGCTGTAATTGACAAGATATGCCAACCACCCTTTTAAGGAAAAATGCCCATATAAGTTTTCCACAGCAACTGTGGCTGGTGTGGATGCTGACCACTCCAGTAATACAATATGTGTGGTGTGTATGTGTATGCAGATGTATGCCTGTATGTGTAGAGATAGTTTTTTTAAAGAAAATTAAGAGCTTGTACTCGCCACAAAGTGTGAAGAAAAAGTGCCAGTACTCACCACAGTAGTAGTACTGATTTTGACAAAAATATCCTGTTGAATTCTCAGGGTTATAACTGGGATATAAAGTGTTCCGCATTATCAGAGTATATCGTTTTGTTAATTTATATATTGTGCAATTATTTATTTAAAACAATCATGCAATTTACATTACTGTTTAAATTACTGATTTATTAATACCCTTCTGGGTTGACAGTAAGGTAGAATGTGTACTATGTTGTATGTTATGTAGATACTGGTCGTGGGGCGAACAGATGGTGGGGGTGGGGGGAGGGGGAATAGCAATTTTTACAAAATATCCTGCTCAACTGTCAGGGTTTTAACTGGGATATAGTGTTCGCTGAGTTCTCACAGCATAGAGAGAGAGATTGTGAATTACTGAGTGCTGGCGTAAGGAAATTAACCTCATTAATATAAAGGATTTACTATCTTCCCGCCCCCTCCCCCTCCCCCACCGCACACATACACAAACTAAAGATGAATGAATGAATGAGGTTTCAGATTTTAAGGAGGTAGGATTAGGTAGGTTATGAAACTTACCGGCAAGTAGTTGACTTGAACCTCTTTAACAATTCCTCCCGTGTGGCTAGTCGACTTCTCATTCATTTTTAGAATTGAGGTAACCATCTGCGGTGTTAATCGAGGCGACTCATGCGGGTCTGGTCCATGAACAACTCTTAATTTATAAAACGGCTGAACAAGAGAAAACCATCTCGACGTTGCCATGTCGTCCTTCTCTGGTGGTGTAAGATAGTAACAGAATCACACATAGTATATGATATTGTTACACGATAATGATATATATATATATATATATATATATATATATATATATATATATATATATATATATATATATATATATATAGTAAGGTTGTGAGTGTATGTGTGTGTGTGGTTTTTTTAAACACCCAATACTGTTATCATATCAGGAATCGAACCTGTCACTTTCAAATGACGACAGCGGCTCGCTGCAGGAACAGTTATTCTAAGTCTAATGACCAGCTGGGCACCCCCCCCCCCCCTTTTTCCTCAAAATGTTTTTTTTAGCCCTGTCTAAACTGCTAAAAAAAAGGGGGTCCTCTATTTCGAAAAAGAGACAACAACTTATAGTAAGCATCAGAAATAGTCACCATTTTAGGGTCCCATTACGAGAAGGAAAATATGATAACTGAAACGATTGGTTGAAAGGGGAAAACAACATGAGAATATTTAAAACCAGAAAAACGTCTGCAAAGATTAGTTAAAAGATCATCCTTTCTTGGCTAGCTGCACCTCCTACCCACCCCTTTATATCCTCTTCTTTTTCTTCTGTCTTTCTAGCGCCCCCTCCCCCTACCCACCCCTTTATATCCTCTTCTTCTTCAGTCTTTCTAGCGCCCCCTCCCCTCTACCCACCCCTTTATATTCTCTTCTTCTTCTTCTATCTTTCTAGCGCCCCTCCCCCTACCCACCCCTTTATATCCTCTTCTTCTTCTGTCTTTCTAGCGCCCCCTCCCCCTACCCACCCCTTTATATCCTCTTCTTCTTCTTCTATCTTTCTAGCGCCCTCTCCCCCTACCCACCCCTTTATATCGTCGTCTTCTTCTTCTTCTGTCTTTCTAGTGCCCCCACCCCTTTATATCCTCTTCTTCTTCTGTCTTTTCAGCGCCCCTCCCCCTACCCACCCCTTTATATCCCCTTCTTCTTCTTCTTCTTCTGTCTTTCTAGCGCCCCTCCCCTACCCACCCCTTTATATCCTCTTCTTCTGTCTTTCTAGCGCCCCCTCCCCCTACCCACCCCTTTATATCCTCTTCTTCTTCTGTCTTTTTAGCGCCCCTCCCCCTACCCACCCCTTTATATCCTCTTCTTCTTCTGTCTTTTTAGCGCCCCCCTACCCACTCCTTTATATCCTCTTCTTCTTCTTCTTCTGTCTTTCTAGCACCCCCTACCCCCTACCCACCCCTTTATATCTTCTTCTTCTTCTTCTATCTTTCTAGGGGTACCCACCCCTTTATATCCTCTTCTTCTTCTTCTGTCTTTTTAGCGCCCCCTCCCCCCTACCCACCCCTTTATATCCTCTTCTTCTTCTGTCTTTCTAGCGCCTCCCCCCCCCTACCCACCCCTTTATATCCTCTTCTTCTTCTGTCTTTTTAGGCCCCCGAGTGGAGCTTAGGCCCTCAACCAACTCATTTATATCTCCTACAAACACAAATTAAGAGGAGGCAGGGGTCGCCTGCGCAGGCGTTACACAGATGCAAAATCCATGGCAATGGATACCAGCATCCACCAAACGGACACCAAGGCTGGCACCAGTCTCTTCAAAACATGACGATGAACGGTAAAGCAGGGTCTAGAGCAGTGGTGGGCAAACTATGGCCCAGAGTGCCAAAACAGACCTGCTGTGCAATTTTTACTGGTCCTAGAGACTGGTATAATCTTATATCTGGGCTGGAAAAAAAAACAGAACACAAAAACAAACCGTTCGTATTAGAAAAAAAAAAAAATCCAAATATCAACATCCAAAAACGTATAAACCTAGACAGTGATCTGCGAATAACCAGTTTGAACAGACACGTATAGGAACATACAGAAGTGCTTCAGTGGGTGAGTATGTCTGGCCAGAGGCGTAGCGAGGGATTATGAGATTATTCCACACAAATATATTAGGGAGAAATCTGGGTGTTATATTTACAAAAGATCTTTTTGGAATGGCCCGCGAACGCGGGTAACTCTAAATTTAGCATTTGAACCAAAAAAGGTTGCCTGGCCCTTTTCTAGAAACAAGTTTATGATTCGTTATTTCTACAGATAGTCCTTAATCGTCCTTTACGCTATACTTGACATGGAGATAATTTGTTTTATACCCTTTCTCATTATTCACCCTAGTAACACTATTGTGACTTGCACTTTTACCTTCTATCTTTCCTAAGTAGTTGTGTCAGCAATAAATGTTACCAAAGATGAGACTCGTTATTGTACGTGCTTCCACGGTATATTTCCATTTTCCTAATGCAAATCGGGCTTAAAGTCTTTAGCAGGTGCTGAAAGACGACAAAGAACTATAAGAGATGTTTCGGGCAGTCTGGCTATAGGATCTTCTTGTTTTTTTTTCATGTGAGTTAAAATGACTTTCCATGGGCCATTCTGGGCTCATAGGGTTGGCTGCAAACATTCAAGTTGAAAGCTTAAAGTTGTGTGAGTGTAAGTATATTATGTTATGTTCTGATATTTTATCACAAACGACTTCACTGCCCGTTGCACATTCTCATGTGTGATCAGTTCTCCGGTGAAGCAGCCATTATCTTATTATTTCTGTTGCTGCTGATATTACTACAACTATTAATGCCACCGCTGCTGCTGCTGCTGCTACTACTACTATTATTATATTTTTTATACTTCTACTGCTACTGCAACAACAACTACTACTACTAATGCTGCTACTGCTACTACTACCATTACTACTACTAACGCTGCTACTGCTGCTGCTCATACTACTACTAATGTTGCTGTTGATAATGTTATTACAACTATTACTATTACTGTTACTATTATTACTAATACTCCCACCTTCTATGCCCACAAATAAACAGGAGGACAGACTAACTGGCTCTACTGTCTTTGGAAATATTACCTTGTGACTTATGAGACCATAAAATATAGGTCTAGCCCTATATGCCTAGCAAGTGTGAAGGGGTGCAGAAGGGTCCTTTAGTGACTGCAGAATTCAACAGGCGGACAGACTTGCTGGCTCTGCACAACGGACAGACTTGCTGGCTCTGCACAACGGACAGACTTGCTGGCTCTACACAACGGACAGACTTGCTGGCTCTGCACAACGGACAGACTTGCTGGCTCTGCACAACGGACAGACTTGCTGGCTCTGCACAACTTGGTGGAATACTGATACACGGTAAGGTGTTGTTAGTGCCTTGTGGGAGAGCATGTACAGTTCGGAGGAGCAGATGGATCACCACAGTCTGGTGAGATCGATGCAGCGGGGAGTGACGAGGGATTCTGGCAGATGCTCGAGGCTCAGAGGAAAGTCAAGACGGACGTTTAATCACTATGCTACTGGCACCATTAGTATCAGAACTCTGCACTGGCTGCTGAAGATGGAGATGGATGGATTATGGGAATATCACGAGTGCTGTGATGTCGGTTCTTGAATCAAATCAACTCATTTTAACTCCCTATGGCATGTCTCAGCAACGTTAATCTTAGGGTTTTGTCCTTTACCTTTTCTTTTTCCCGAAGCCATTTGTTTTTCATTTCAGTGCCTATTTAGTATGCCACACAGTAAATTCTACATGAGTTATGAGTTGAGTTACGAGCTGGATTATCTTTACAGCGCGAAGGACACATCCATAGGTGCTCAGACTCCCCTCTCAACATATTCATCAGCGTCGCGCGGTTAATAGTGCCAGTCCTGTGATGGTTGACAAGACTTCGTGTGCCTCCGGTGTGCTTCTCATGCTTAGCTGTGCCGATCTTTACTCCATATTCTCGTATTAGCAGTGATGTCGACACGTTGCTTCCGATTCTACATATCACTGCTACTGAAATTAACTAAAAATAACGCATTATTGAAAGCGGCACTGCGGTTTGTTGACCGTTGACACATAAATTGTAATACTAATGCAAAACTATTTATTTCAAGTATGTTGCAGATACTGAGAGCACAAACTAATTTTCACCGCCAATACGATGGCGTCTGCCAGTGTGGATTTAACAAAGCTCATCTGTCGACGACATAACGACAGCTGCTGCTCGTCTCCTTCTTGTAGCCATCTTTCTACATGCTTTGACAGGGTGGTCGTTGGTTATGACGGGAACTTTGTGGATGGTTCTGAAAACTTAAATGTCAGACAACAGGAATCGTCAGGTATAGTACACATCTTCTCTTCGATTCACTGTCAGTGACGTCGTTTGATTATTTAAAGATGAAGGGGTTCCGTGGCAGGGGCTTCTGAACGCAGGAGCTTAAACACATTGAGCGACCCCTATCCCTGTGGCGTAGAAGGTCCAGTGGAACCCGGTGCAGAAAATGTCTTGTTATTCCCTACAATATAAATGAACCCAGGAGCTTTAAACACATTGAGTGACCTCTCCCCTGTGGCGTAGCAAGGTCAGTAGGTGCCCGGTGCGGAAAAATGTCCTGTCATTCCCTGCGACACACACACACACACACACGCACACACACACACACACACACACACACACACAGATAGGCCTATTGGGCTTTTTCTTGAAAAATGTGCCAGTATTCACCAAAAAGTACCTTTAAAAGGATACCGGTACTCCCTCTTACATGAGCTTTCAACAATAATGCTTAAAAAAAGGCGTTGATACTGCGAACCGTTGCCGTCCCCAAAAAAAAAAAAAATATGTGTATATATTTTTGCCATTATATCACCTCCCAGTAGTACTATAGTGAGGTTGTAGGTCTAATCAGGTGCCTCCTACGTCGCATGTCGCCGCCTGCATGCCAGGTGCTGCCTGCCGCGTCCTGTCTTATATATATAACAAAAACAAAAAAAGTGGGGGGGGGGGAAGGGTTTAATTTGGACATATGATGCTAAACCACAAATATCAAAATGGCGCAATTAAACAAGGCGTTAACCCCTCCTCGAAGCTAGAAAATTATTGGTAAGGAAGATGGGGAAGTAGCCCATACGTTTTCATTGTGATGTTGCCAGATTTTGGGGCAAAATAATTAACCCGCCCCCCTAACAAGCATGTGTTGCATAAGGTGACCAGTTAGGTGTGCTGACATCAGATGTGTTGGACCGAAATGCGTAAATGTCACAGCCTAGCTGTAAACCACAACACAACGTACCTTCCACCCAAATGAGGACAAACGCAGAAGAAGAACTACTGCTTCTAATTTTCCTGTGTTGAAACTAATATATTGTGTTGATGTTCTGTCCATTTCCTTATTCTATTTATTACTTCTTATTGACCTACCTCTCATATTTGTGCCGGGGCTATGAAAGTGTTCGAGGCAACGAGCGTGCAGGTTATGTTGCAGAGACTGCGGTTGCTATGGCTGGTCCGGTATTAGACAGAACCGATATTATTAATGTCGTGTGCAGCACTTACCGTGAAGACGAAAGGACATGACTCCTTATCTATGTCGAGGCTGATAGACAAGCTGTTGCAACCCGGAGTAGTAAGAAATGAACATTTCACCAAAAGAAAAAGTTGAGCTGAATTGAGTTGAGTAAAGAATTGACATCACAGGAAGTGGGGAATTCCCATGCATGCTCCGTCCTCATCTTCAGCAGCTAGCGCAGAGCTCCAATACTGATGGTACCGGTCACTATCTGGTTAAAAGTCCGTCTTGCCTTTACTCTGAGTGTAGTGAGCTGGCCAGACCCTCTGGTTACACCCAGGTGCCTCATTCTCTCCAGGCCGTAATAATATTGTTTCTCTACTGATTCCGTTGCTTGTTCACAAAGGGCCTTCACCACATCTGCCCTGTCATGTATCAATTCACCACCCAGTGGTGCAGATCCAGCCAATCTGTCTGCCTGTTCACCAGAAGAACAAGACGTTTGATTAATCAACACAGAACAGGTCTCACCAGTCGTTTCACCCTTGTGAATGTGTCCTTGTGGAGGTTTTGCGGAGGAGATTGGAGCACAAATGTATCTTGCGCAGAGTGCTGCGATGAAAACCCTCATTAATCACTAAACATTATACTTCTATTCTAAACAGGCCTTGTTCCCTTCAAGGAGAAGACAAATCCAAATTCGAATTATGGTTCAGCGGGCGTGTCTGTGAAAGACCACACAGCAGATGGTAGGAGATTGACTACCCCGGTCGTGTACAGTCGACGCTGGCTCATGCTGGCTTTATTCTGTTTTTACTCCTTCAGCAACTCTTTTCAGTGGATCAACCTAAACATTATTTCTGACATTCTGGGCCGTTACTACAATCAGAGTTTACCTCGGGATTCTTACCAGGTAACAGAGTTTACCATAGGATTCCTACCAGCTACTAGAGTTTACCTCAAGATTCTTGCCAGCTACTAGAGTTTACCTCAAGATTCTTACCAATTACTAGAGTTGACCGCAAGATTCTTAGTTAGTTAGTTAATCAACAGATTATTCCCATTACACATCGGACAAGACCATGAGCGCTCAGATCCCATCTTCAGTACATCCCTCATCGTGTGGTGACTGATAACATCAGTTCTGTATTGGTTTACTATTCTTCTTTCGCTGCCTGTATAGTGTTCATGTTTCGCGAAACCTCTTTTGCCCTTAAGTTTTTTTTGGTCTTGTCGATTCAACGTCGTCTCCTGAATCATCTTCTTGTCCTGCCTTATTGAGAAAACTGAGAATTTCGATTCGGTCCATTGCTTTTCATGTACCTACCGTGGCCCAACCAGCAAGCCAATCCGCTCATTCATTCCCTCTTACCCCAAAGTATCCTGATACAAAAATAAAACTAATTCCTGTCAGGCGAGATTTCATCAGCGACTCCAACCATTTTCTTCGAACCCATCTTGTCTCTAACTTCATAAGCATGCTCATAAAATCACTTAACAAGAACGGATGGGGAAAATGCTCTGTCTCTAGCCACATCATTGCCTTTGTTACCGCCATCACCTAAATAGTCAGACTACTTGTAGTCGAGGAAAAAACCCCGCTCTCTTCTTTTACAGTTTTCCCTCGAACCAGAACCATGAACGCCCATGAACTTTGTGCAGGATTCTTACTAGGCACTAGAGTTAGACAGAGCCAAGGTAACCCCATACTAAATGTTCATTTATTGTCCAGATCTCAGGGCTATATAAGTGAAGGTCCTTTTTCCACATGCTTAGGCGTATTGTGAATATAGGGCTAGACCTATAATTTATATACCAATCGGTACTTGGTGGGTGATGTGGTCAGCATCACGCCGACCGCCTTTACTTCTCAGGACTGCACCTGGTACCCTCTCAAGGCTCGGTCGACCTGGGTGTCAAGCTTCTTTTTAAAAAAAAGTCTGACTGTCAGGACGCGAACCCACGACCTTCCGATTCCACAGACCACGGCGACTCCCCCCCCCCCCCCCCCCCCACCACACCCACATAAATATTATATATATATAAATTCTCTACTGTTAAGTATATATGATAACACATCTGACACATTTAATCTCTAGTGTTTTAGTTATATGTTGATAAATATTCTTCCTGTTGTTAATATGTTTTGTCTTAAAAATATACCCTTCTTGTTTGACCCCGCAGCGCAACACGGCTATAGACTGGCTGTCAATGGTCTATATGCTAGCATACATTCCATTAATATTGCCTGTCATGTGGGTCCTGGATCAAAAGGGATTACGCCTGTGTTGTTTGTGTGGGTCCTTGCTCAACGCTCTTGGAGCTTGGCTAAAGTGTGCCAGTTTGACTCCAGACAGGTCAGATTTGGATGTTTATGTTTGATTCTAGAATAGGATAGTTTGCAATGTGAAACTTTTACTATGACATAATAGGCACAAAAAAACAAAACAACAACAACAAGAATCCAAAACCAACTATGTCACGTATCAGCCGACCCAGTTATGACACAGCTAGCTATCCAGTACACACACACACACACACACACACACACACACACACACACACACACACACACAAACTAGCTGGAGTGTAAGCACGAACTCTGCAGCTCCGGTGACGATCGCCAAGAGTCACCGCAAAAAATTGTATTCAGTAACCAAATGATGCAGCCGTGATACAAAACCAAGACATTCGGATCGCGAGGCAAACGGCTTGGCTCAAGTCGAACAGGAGTCGCCGTCTTCAAATTAAAAAAAAAAAAATTTTATTATTGTATTTTCTGGTTGTGTTGTCGCCGTTTCTTAATTTGGTTTAAGGTTTAATTAAAATTGTGCATACACGATTTTCTCGAATAGTCATTAATATTCCGTAAACTAAAACAGAACATCAATTTAAATTTAGGAATTCTTAGGACGGATAAAGAAATTAAGGACCAGTACAATGTCACTGTACAAAGCCGGTATAATGCCATGGAAATTATACAGACTATTGATGAACAGTGGGATATGTTGTGTGAGTCAATTCAGCAGACATCTAAAGAGACAATCCCATCAACCCATAGAGTTGCAAAAAAGAAATAGATGACAACCGAAATTCTGCAGTTGATGGATGAAAGAAGGAAGAAAAAGAATGATAGAGAAGAATACTCTAGAATACAAAAAGAAATAGTGAACAAATGCAAAGTGGCTAAAGAAGCCTGGCTGAATCAAATGTGCACAGAGATTGGGGAAAACAACAGGAAAGACTCACATTCCATGTACCATCAGATAAATATGTTAACAGGAAAGATGACACGTAACAGCGCTGGATGTTTGAAATCAAAAGATGGTGACTTATTAATGGGATATAGTAATATAATTAACAGATGGAGGGAGTATATAGGGGAATTGTATGATGATAATAGACCAGATGTAGAATTTAAGACCAACAATGATGGTCCACCAATAATGACTGCAGAATGAGGATGCAATACATCATATGAAGAAAGGAAAAGCACCCGGGCCAGACAACATCTCACTGGAAGAAATCGAAGCACTGGGAGATTTTTGAATTGAAATAATAACTAAACTTTTAAATGATATTTATAACAGTGGGTATATTCCAAATGACCTTTTAAAATCCATATTTATAGCTCTGCCTAAGAAACCAGGCACTATAAAATGTGAAGACCATCGCACAATAAGTCTTATAAGTCACATGATTAAGATTTTACTGAGTTAGAAAAAGAATTCTTGCTTGCTACATATATCCAGTTTTAACATATGGCTGTGAATCCTGGACAATCGGTAGGCAGGCCAAACAATTTCTGAAGGCCTCGGAGATGTGGTTTTACAGAAGAATGCTTAGAATACCTTGGACAGCCAAAAAGAGCAACCAAGAGGTTTTGAAAGAGGCGAGAGCCCGAAGACAACTTATCACAGACATCAGAAGGAGACAGTCATCATTTTTCGGCCATGTTATGAGAAGAGGGAAAATAGAACATGTTGTGACCACTGGAAAGATCTATGGAAGGAGAGACAACGAGATAAGATGCTTGACAGTCTTGTTGCATGGCATGGAGGTGTGTCGGCACAGGAACTGATACATGCTGCAGGAGATCGCAGATTATGGAGATGCATGATCGCCCACGCCAGTCGACAAGGCACCTGATGATGATGATGAAACTAAATTTGCTGTCATGTAGAGTTGAGCTGAGTCAGGAATTGACATCACAGCACTCAGGAAATTCCCATACGCGCTCCGTTCCCACCCTCAGCAGCCAGCGCAGAGTTCTAGTACTAATGTTGCCGGTCGTATTTGCTGTCAAGTTTGTTTTTATAACATGAGCCAAATTTCCATTAATTTCTTACATAAATCAGATTTACTTCAATGTTAATTATTATTTTAGAAAAAAACGATATTTGCTAGGGTGTTGATTATTATTGTTACTACACGAAATTTAAGATTGGTGAGAAATCAACCCAGTCGTCCCCATGTGGGATGCAATCGTTCGTTATTTGAAGCCCCACCCTGGCTTTTGCCGGGGGTCCTGAATATAGTCGGGCCATGAATATGTCCATAACAGTGGAAAGGGGTTCCTGGGACCTCTCCACGGGTGATCCTCATTCGCATGGTGGCACTTTGTGTCACCAGATGTATGTCACTTGTGTGATGTCCTGGTGGGGTACAACAAGGGAGAGAGAGCGAGCGAGCGAGAGAGAGAGAGAGAGAGAGAGAGAGAGAGAGAGAGAGAGAGAGAGAGAGAGAGAGAAAGAGAGAGAGAGAGACTGGTGAAGTCAATTTAAAAAAAAAGACAGTGAAGTTCATATTACACACAACATTGCAGATTTAGATAGAAGTATCTCAGGTGAACGAAAGAAGAAGCTTGTTGTATGTTGTTATTATTATTATTAATATTATTATTATTATTCAGTGAGTTTTATTTGTTTTTTTTTAAAGCCCATGCCGTGTTGCATTGGTAGCCATGTCTATCCACAACCTTCTGTCTCGTTTAATTTTAGTCAACTCTGACACAGATGATCTTCCTTGCCATGATGTTCTCTCGGTCTCCCTCTACCTCTTATCCCCTCCAACTTCATTTACCCTAGGGGTTTATTATATACAAGGGGCCATATTTTCTTTATTATTTATTATTCCATAAACCAGATTTCCGTTGCTCATGTTTGCACAAACAATTAGTGCCATGGCACAAGTCTGTGTTCTAGGAATACCTGCAAGACTGGCTGCTGTTTGGTTTGGGCCTAACGAAGTGTCCACAGCAACATCCCTCGGTGTCTTCGGAAACCAAGTAAGCATCATACGGCATGCTTATTATCATACGCAATGACACTCAGCATAGAAGTTCCTGTTTGTTTGTTGGTAATTTCCTTTATTTTACGGTTTCTTTGGGTGTGCTTGGTTTTTCCACGCACAAAAACAGTGAACAGTGCGGAAGCACAGAAAGATCATTACAGTCTAACGAGAATGGCACTGCGTGGAGTTACCAGGGGATCTGGCCGACGCTCAACACTCAGGGGAAGGGTGACACAAATATACAATCAGACAGTTACTAGTGTAATCTGAATTGGAACTCTTCATTTGCTGTTGAAGATGAGGACAGGGCTCTTATGGGAGTGTCCCGCGTGCTATGGTAATTCATAATTCAACATTTAAAAAAAGCACAGCATTTCACCGTGCCATTTAAGTTTGTGGGACATGTCGTTTATTTAGATGTGTACTCCATTAGTTTCTAGTCGGGAAATAATTAGTCTGAGTAGATCTGTTGTTTCATTTCGAAGGTCAAACAACAAATAGTCGTGGGGTTTTAACGCGCACTACATTATGGTTTTCAAACTGAAGGTTTTTTTGTCCTTTATGATTCCAAGATACGTTTAGTACAATATAAATAACGCTGATCTTGCGATGGTGACTACCTTAATTGAATGGCTTGGTGACTCGTCATCTGTCTCGGATATCAAATCGTCTATGACAACTACACGTAGCCTATCCACGCGGAACAACTTCATTTAAAGACATTACCATCCATTTTATCATCAGGGGTTGCCATTCCCCGTAGCACTAGACAATCACCTCCGGCACTGGGTCAGCAAGATGTTACAATTTTTGTCCGCAAAAAAAAAAAAAACGGTTTTAACTCTGCCAGTGGCCAAATCGGGAGGCGCTGCATCTCTCGCCCGGGAGATGCAATTTCTTTTTTTTTTTTCTTTTTATAAAGTCACAGAGCCACAGAGGATTTTGTTCTTTAGACTATCTGCGCCACCGTTAGCAAGGGTTTTAAAAGAAAAATACCCCAACAAATCCGCTTCATTTCCTCCCTGGACAATCACTAAAGTTGGTAATTTCGTGTTCAAATACCAATGTGATGTTTGACTTCGTTTTGTTTTGATAATAGCGGCCATTTTTTTGGCCTGATTTTGGGCGAGGCTACAAAGAAATACTGAGAAAATGATAAAGTAAAATACTGTGAAAATTCTAATGTAACAGAACATTACAAGTACAAATGCACCTAATTTTCCAAATTGTTTGAACCCCCTCCCTCCTCTCCAAAGCCTAAAACTTTCTCCGACTGGCTCACTTACCTTTTACCCCACTAGGACATCACACTGAGCGACCAACACCTGGTGACACAGAGTACCATAATTCCGATGAGGATCACACATGGATAGGTCCTGGAAACCCCGTTCAACCGTAAGGTTATATTAGGGCTCCCCGACAACAACCAGGGAGGGACATCAAAATAATGAAAAATTCTTGCCACATGCGGACGGTAAATTAGGTTAAAAATTTCTCGTGCCCCACAGCCATAAATGAATATGCTATCGATTAAAAACTATTTGGCGGCATTAATGATTAATGTTTATTTACATTTCTCTGTTGCCAGGTTGGGATCGCCGCTGGATTTCTGCTGCCGCCAATGATGGTGACAAACTCCAACGATACAGACGTCATCGATGTTGGTTTGCGCATCATGTATTATGGTGTTGCGAGTCTGACTACCGTCGTTTTCTTGTCAATCCTTGTCTGTTAGTACCTCATTTTTGTCATCATTACTTTAATCATTATCAGCCTCATTATCATCGTCATCATCATTACCATCATTACAATCATCCCAGTTATCACAGATAAGGCTGGGATCCATCTTGTTATGCTAGTTAGTTAGCTAGCTAGCTAGCTAGTTAGTTAGTTATCTAGCTAATTAGTCAGTTAATTAGCTACAAGTTAGTTTCGGAGTAAAGTAGCTAGCTAGTCGAGATTCCACCACCACTGCATGCAGGTCACCCCCCCCCCCCCCTACCATAACTGCTATGTTTCTGTGCCAGTCGAATCAAACAAAATGTTTTCACTGACTCATTTTAAAAATAGTAAAAAATGTGTCAGTCCTAGCAAGAACTTGAACCTTGCACATACAAAATAAACATGTACAAAGCAGCTGTTAGCTGTGTCAACACTTACAGTCCCCCGCCAGAATTGTAGCTCGCTGTTTGGGCAAACGGAAAATAACGAAGGCCATTATCAGAGGTTATGTGGGCAGAGCTTAGTCTATGAACAATTGAAATGGTGGAAAGGGATTGGGGGGGGGGGGGGGGGGGTCCTCAGTGTGTCTAAACTGCCAGGTTATGGCGCCCCTGCTATACAAAGAATACGTCTAAAATTATGTGCCTTACATTTTTGTATTTTCAGTTTTCCATGACAGACCACCACAGCCACCAAGCAAAGCACAATATCTTGCCGTAGTGGCCGCAGCCAGCCAGAATTATAAACAGTCTCTGGTTCAATTAGTCACCAATAAAGGATTTATTCTTCTCATTATTGCCTACGGTAAGTTTATCAAAGCAGTAATTCTCCGTTGAGAGTGAGGACGGGAGAGGGAACCTCTACATCAACTTTACTCGAAAGATCCAAACCTTGTTTAAGGCTCAGACCACCTGAGCTTGAGTAAACAGGATTTGAGAAAATAAGCTTAGTCTTTCTCTCTTCCACAACCATCCACCAGAAAAAAAAAGTAACTGTTAGAAATTTTTCTGTTAGAAATTTTTAGAAATTCCTACTGTTAGAAATTTCTTTACCGTCACCCTTTATGTAATAGGTAACAACACATCACAAACTATGACTAAAACGCTAAACTGAAAATAGAAAACTAGTATACATAAAGCTGAACATTTCTTTATCAGTGAATAAATGAATAGAATCATAAACAGCAGAGAAAACCACATAGAACCGGAAATTTTGAAAGATCGACACACAGGGATAGGAAAAGCTGTTAGCAAGCACAATTGTAAAGAAGGATCGGGGAAAGATGTTAAGATATCTCTTGATTTAAGCCTAATTATAGTCATTCCTAATTTCGTCGTCGTTTATTTAATATGTAGCCTTTCATGATCTCGAATTCGTGCAAAAAGTTGTGAGGTACAATTGCTTAAAAAGTTTCACTGTTGTTTCAGTAGTGTACAAAGGCATTAAACATTCAATTGAGTTCAAATATCTGAGAATATCATTCCTAAAGTTGGTAAACTGGATGAAGAAATAAACACATGATGCAGTAAAACAAACCAAGTATTGGGAAAGCTTGGGGCCGTATTAAATGATAACACAATCCAGATCAGCACAAAGAAATATCTCATGAAGAGAATATTCCCCCCCCCCCATCCGATGCCACAAGTGCCAGACATGGACACTCACAACAAACCAGAAAAGGAAATTAGTCACCATGAAAATGAGATGCCTGAGAAGGGCTGCAAGAATGACCAGAAGAGATAAACTCTGAAATGAAGTCATTAGAGAAAAGATCGGCATAAAACCAGTTGCAAAAAACCTAGAAAGACTGCAAATCAAATTGGTTGCCCACTTGGGGAGAATGCCTTGTTACGCCCTACCATGAAAGGCATACACTAAAAGAGGAGAAAGGCTTACTTCACGAAGTAGACCAAGAACAAGATGGAAAGATAACATCAGAGAAACTCTACAATAGCCCTATGTGTTTGGTCTATTCCAGGTATAAACACCGGATCGTTTTATGCGGTGTCGACTCTACTTAATGCTACAGTTTTCTGCTATTTTCCGGTAAGTGGTGTGATTTTCTTTTTCAGAATACCCTGTTAACCTTTTCAGTTGTTGTACCGTATTCCCAATAAAGGTTGTTTCACAGACAAAAAGACTTTGTCGTGAACCTGCGTTTGCCCTGGTAAAACAGGCAGTTACTTCTTTTGGATGTAATTGATTGTGTATGTCACTCAGAAGTCTCCTTAAACATAGATATTGTCCGGGATAAATTAGTTATATGAATCCAATGCCGACTCTAACAGAGAAGGCCGTGTATGAATCCTACCTGACATGGAACGTGGGTTCGCTCCCTAGCTGAGCCAGACTTTTTTTTTCAAAAATGACCGTGACTCCCAGGTACCGGGTGCAGTCCTGGGAAGTAAGGGCGACCGACGTGATGCTGACCACATCACCCATCTTGTACTGATTAGTCTATAAAAATGTAGGTCTAGCCCTATATGCCTAATGGCGTGGAAAAGGGACCTTTACTTGATCTGACATGGAAGACATGAGCAATATCAGCTGATGAAGAATGAGGTGAGCCGTGTGTTTCTTGACCTCTGCCAATGGAACCATTGGCCGGAACCTCTCATGTCCGGCAATGAAGCTTCCCTTAAACGATGATAACTAGGCCTTTTGGGGTGGGGTAGAGTTATATTAAAATCATCCTGAAATCTAGATTTTTTTCTGAGGGGGTAGGGCATATATTAAAATCATCTTGAAAATCTGGCTTTTTTTGTGGTTGGGGGGGGGGGGAGGGGTTGAAATTTTCATGTAAGCACGGTAACTAGCTTACTATAGAGTGTCCCTGACGAGAACCGTTGTTTGTCTCTTCTTTATTGTTTGTTTGTTTTAGTATCCAGAAGCCATGAGTTGTTAACCCTTAGGCTCGGTATTATGGATATCGCAACCTTTCGGCCTTGATTCCATTTTAAATACCGTAAATCTGGGAGAAATGTGGCTTTTCTGCCCACCCCCGGGAGTGAACCCGGACCACAAGGAGTTCGTCACCCGCTCACCGCGCAATCCGGTTTAGCCAACTACGCTAGAGAGACGAGCCTCTTCTTTATTCAAATTCACAACAAGGAGACATTGCATTCAGTTTCTTCATCTTTGACTGTCATTTTTGTCTAACTTTGTAGTAAATGAACTTCCGTTTGGTTGTCTCTATCTGCAGGGTCAAGGGGTCAGTGCTGGGAGAATCGGTCTTACGATTGTAGCCATGGGTGTGCTGGGTTCGGTCCTAGTTGGCGTGTGGTTAGACAAGACCAGAACTTTCAGGCAAGCGTCTCTCTCTCTCTCTCTCTCTCTCTCTCTCTCTTTCTCTCTCGCTTTCTCTAATTCCGTTCTCTCCTTCCCCCCACCTCTCTCTCGCCTTCTCTCACTTCGTTTCTTCTATCCTTTCATCTCTCTCTCTCTCTCTCTCTCTCTTTCTCTCTCTCTCTCTCTCTTTTCCTTTCTTTCTCTTTCTCTTTCTTTCTTGCCATTATTCTCTCTATTTGTTTCTCTCTCTTCCCTCCGCCGGTTCATTTCTCTGCTTCAGTATATTTAATTGTGTAGCATGCATCTAAAGAGATATTTCCAAACGACAGGCATTCATTTATACAATCCCTTTTTTTCCCCTGTAGATTTAAACTAGGAAAACATTGCTTTAATGCTTTCATGGTCTATTCCTTTCAGGGGAACAACAGTAGCAGTGTACATTTTATCATTGGCTGGGAGCATCGCCTTCACTGCGGGCCTGAACCTGGGATCTCTCTGGATTACCTTCATCACCGCAGGTTCACTTGGGTTTGTGATTACAGATCGTCAGCACATACGTTAACTTCTTCATACAAAACAGTGGCCCTCAGGCTTTCTAATGCCGCGACCCTTTAATACAGTTTTCTCACGTTGTGGCGGAGGCTGGTTGGTCTCGAGGCACGGTGTCCGTCTCGAGTGCTAAAAGTTCCGGGCTCAATCCCCGGTAAGGGCTTAGATTTTTTCACGTGGACTTGGACTTCTAGTAATTCACCCGGGTCTCTGGGTAGTGAGATCGGACGCATTGCTGCGCTTGTAAAAAAAATCCTTTGGCAGTTGGAAATTGAAAAGAGTACCCTAACAGCGCTGCCCGGGTAAAATATGGTGTTAAAAATCTACCCAAAGTATTTCAGGATCCTCGCCAGTGCTACAGAGCCTGTGCACTGTGCACAGACTTAAATTAGAAGAATAACAGACCCAAACAATTTTTTTCCTTCATAACGTCAATGTATATGTGTTTACCGATGGTCTTAGGCGACCCATGCGAAAGGGTCGTTCGACCCCAAAAAAAGGGTCATGACCTGCAGGTTGAGAACAGCTGAGAACCATGCCCGTCGATATTGAACTGGAGGTTGCCTCTCATTCGTTTTGTGGTACGCCAATGATTGGCACCTTTCCCTCTGTCCAGACGATAGTGTTATATTAAGCTATGAGGAGGTCTGACACTCACATCCATGGCGATGGCGAGTGTGACTAGCAGGACCCGCCTGCGCTTAGAAACTTTGGGTTGCGCCGTTAGGCTACTCTTTCGATTTCCAACTGCCAGGGGATTTTTTGCACAATGCACACGGGCGTCCAATCTCACTATCCTCTACACGGGCGTCCAATCTCACTATCCTCTGACCAGGGAGAATTACTAGAGGTCCAAGTCCACTTGAAAAAAAAAAATCCCAGCCCTTACCAGGGATTGAATCCGGAACCTCTAGCACTCGAAGCGGTCACAGTGCATCGAAACCACACAGTTCCCCCTAGAAGTTGTAACTAGAGCACTCGAAATGGCTTCAACAGACTAGTGCCATCTGCAGTTCTACGCGAGTGAAAACGTGTTAAGTGTCGATTCACTTTTCTCTAATTCATCCAGTTTAAAGTTCATCAATTTTTATCTTCTTCTCCAAGCACGAAAGTTAAAAATGAATTCTCACATTCTCCTGGGCAGGTTTTTCATGACAGGATATCTCCCCGTAGGGTATGAATTTGCAGCAGAACTGACTTTCCCTGAATCAGAAGCTACTTCGTCAGGCTTGCTCAACATCAGTGCCCAGGTGAGTTAAGGTGGTTTTATGATGCCAGTTTGACTTTTTTTTTTAAACTAGCTAAATAAGTTCCTTAAAACTCTGCTGTTAAAACATAATGAAAATAAACTAAGTGAAAGTTATAGACAATCAAAAGAAGCTAAAGCATTAAAAAAAACACACACGCATTATTTTTACCAACACTATTGTGCCAAACGTGGACATTTAAAGAAATTAAAAACATTTTGGAGAAAAACATAATTTTTTCAGTGCGCTCTAACAAGCATGTCGCGAAAGATTACCAATTTTGGATGATTCATTTGAATCTGCCTGAGTAGCAAGAGACCAACAGTCTGCTTACAAATAAGCCAGATCTGTAAAAACGGATTTTGGAACAAGACCAGGGTCCACAACTGGACGAACAATCAGAGCTGACTGCAGAGGTTAACAGCCGGTGAACGATAAGCAAAAGAAGAAGGAAAAGGGGGAGGAGGAGGATGAGTGAAAAAAAAAGAAGAAAGGCAACTTATCATTAAAACAGCCTAAGGAGGTATCTTGAGGAAGTTGCTGCATCAGCGGACTTGGCACGCATGAGAATGCCAAGTGTGCGTGCGATCGACTGTTATAACATAACAATAGGGAGTCTAACATGATATTCCCCACTGACCACAATCATGAAATGGGCCATTTACCCCCCCCCCCCCCCCCCCCCCAGTTGTTCACATTGTCATATTCACGTTGTTTGTGATCTTTAGGTATTTGGAGTAACCTTAACACTTACAATGAGAGCTATGCTGGAGTCTGTGTCCGTGCTCAGTGCCAACGCTGCTCTCTGTGCGCTTTTGTTTGTGGGATGCATCCTGACAGGTTTGTCCAACAAACAGTTGGTTAGCGAATGTAGACATAAATGTCTAAACAAAAAAAGTAAAAAGCGAAAGTTCGTTCACACACCATAGCGCACTGTGTTTAAGAGGCTCAGTTAGTTAGTGAGTCTAGTGCGACGCTTAGGGCAGAGGTCATAGCTCTCCATGTCTGGCGGTTCATTGTCACCTGTTTTAGGTCTGTGGGATGTTCATTAGGCTCATGGCTGAGCCAAGACCGGCTTTAGCTGACAGGTCGTACTGCTGACGTCACCAGGTCGGGCTAACGATGCGTTAACGCGGTGGTTCTAAAACAATAAATAAACTTTTTTCGACCGTGGCTAGGAAGGACAACTTAGATTTTTAACTTTCAAGTATCTACATTCCTTCTTTAAAAATTTCACAATTTTTAGCTGACTTTTCTTGATTATTTCCGCGGCTCCAGTAGCATACGCTAACCGCACCCCAGTGTGCTTCGGCACCCAGTTTGAGAACTGCTGCTTTGACGCATCGTTAGCCCGACCCGGTGACGTTAGCAGCACGGCCCGTCAGCTGGAGCCGGTCGTGGCTGAGCCCTCCTTGATGATGGTTCTACGCAGGGTCCCTCTTGGTCTCCCCTGTCTTCTTTTCCCTGCCGGTGTCCATATGAGGGCCTGATAGGGGAGTCTTGTCTTAACCATTCTGAGGGCATGGCCGATATTATAGGAGGTTAGATTAACGTTTGTGAACACCAGTCGATGATTGGTGATGTGGTCAGCATCACACCTGCTATCTTTGGGCTATCCTCCGAATAACGGTCCTAAATTATCGAGGAGGAAAATATACCTCAACAGGGCCTCAGTCATGTGTCAATTGCACACGTCCGTCGTCTTAAATTGCGCGCTTCCGCCGACTTCCGCCACCGCCGAGAGTATCCCCCATGCGGCTTGGATTGGGGTTAAACTAGATGGCTGGGACTCATGAGCAGCAGCTACCGCATCTCCTGCAGCTTCCTTTATTTTATTTGCTCGTGAGTCCTAGCCATCTAGTTTAGCCCCAATCCATGCTGCGTGGTGGATACTCCCGGCGGTGGCAGAAGTTCCTGGAAGTTTGCAATTTGGCGGTGGCGTTATAGTCCCCAGAAGTGCGCAATTGACACGTGCCTGAGGCCCTGTTGGGGTATATTTTCCGCCTTGATAATTTAGGACCGTTATTGGGAGGATAGCCTATCTTTGCTTCACCTGGTACCCATTTGAGGCGAGGTCGACTCTTGGAAGCCACTGTCATGTTTGAAAAAAAATCAGACTCCATGCGGATTTGAACCACAACCTTCGAACCGCAGGCAAGCGTCTAGCTGCTACACCAAGGATCCCCCCACATAAATGTGTAGTAAGTGTGTAATAGCTGTTGAAGAGCCCTGCAGACCTAGGAAGTAACACGAAATGCTGTGTGACAAGCTAGAACTCAAGGAAAAGATGACCCGGATGTACAATCAGGCAGTTATTGGTACCATCAGAATTAGAACTCTTTGCTTGCTGCTGAAGAGGGGGATGGAGCATTTATGGGAGTGTCCAGAGTGTTATAAATGTCGATTCTTAGTTCAACATATGAGACTATCATACCGGGTGGCAAGCCATTAGGGCAAAGCGCATATACCACTTTCAACCTTTAAAGAAGTTACGAGGTGTCTGAGAACAGCTTCTAGAGTGACCAGAAGAGACAAAATCAGGAAAGAGGTCATAAGAGAAAATGAGTGCAGAACAATTCTAAATTACATACCCAAAAAAGCCCCAACAAATCAAATGGTTTGCCCACTTAGAGAGAACGCTTCCTGATGCTAGGCCGTACTAGGCATACATCAAAAGAGAAGAACATAGAGCATGAAACAGATCAAGAACTAGATGGAAAGATAACATCAGATAAACTTTACACAACATGATGTATCTGCGATTGAGGCGGCCAAAAGAGTAAAAGGTAGAACCTTATATCTTCCCCGTCACCCGAAGCTGCACAAAAAAAAAAGTGAACAACAAATAAACTACATAGAAGCAAAAGAAGAAGAAGAAAAAAAATAGGGTACCCATAATGACCCCACCAGCCCGGTGAAATGAGCAGTCCTGTGCAGATAAGGATACTATAACCTTATGAAATTACTGAGTACTCATTGGCGCTGAAAGAAATAAACGATGGAAGCAGAGATGAAATGACACACTCGCTGTGTAGATCTGCTGTTCCTTAACAAGCATGCCATGAAAGGCTAATTAAGGTTTTGCTGAAATCGAATGTGTTGAGCTGAAAGGCACAGATATCACAGCCTAGCTGTAAAACACAATACAGTGTGCCTGACAGGCTTTAAAGGATAAAATGAAGAAGAAGAAAAAGAAGAAGAAGAAGATGAAAAAGAAGGAGAAGAAGAAGAAGATGATGAGGAAGAAGAAGAAAAAGAAAAAAAGAAGAAGGTGGAGGAGGAAAAGAAGTAGTGGAAGAAGAAGGAGGAGGAGGAAGAAGAACAAGAAGTACATACATGAGAGATTTTGGAAAGGTAAATGCTGAACTGCAGTTGCCAGCTTGGTGTATAAAGATGATGAATCATACATCAATCAATAATACAAGGTGTACAGCGCAGACCACTCACAGCAATCACGGATGTGGCAAATTTCTGTCATGACGAACCGTCTTTATCACCGGCAATTTTTATTACTCAAATTTTTATCTGGATAAGAGGAATTTCTGATACGAAGAACCATTTCTTGGGTTCCTGGTAAGTTCTCATTATCAGGTCTGCACTGTAAATATATATATATATATATATATATATATATATATATATATATATATATATATATATATATATATATATATATATATATATATATATATATATATATATATATATATATATATATATATATATATATACATACATATAAACTTGTTGTGTCATCTCCATAATGGAGGTCGGCTCCAATGGATATGCACAACTACTCTTATCTTTTCAAATATTATGTGACGGCACCCTAATATCTTCCACGGTGAAACTCCCATATACAGTCTAGACAAGGAGATAAGAAGAACTCACCTAGAATCAAGATATAGTTCCTTATCAGGAATTCCTCATATCCGTGTAAGAGTTTAATCATATGACAATACATTTAAAACATTCAATACAGAATTGAGATAGCGTTGAACATGACTTGGCATCTCAGAGCCCAAAACTACGTAAAACTCTCATATACAGCGCATAGCTTAGAAGGAGAAATCACCTGGGATCCAAGATATAGTTCACCTTATGAGAAATTCGTCTTATCCATATAAGAGTTCAAGCATTTGGTAATACACTTACAACGTTCAATAGAATAATGGGTTAGCGATGAAAACGACTTTACTCTCAGGGCCCAAAACCACATCCATGTCGTGAGAGATGTAAACATGATAATGTAGGGGTTTGCTAGGATTGGGCGAAAAGTTCAGGTTGTTCATCTTCTTCTGAACTTTAGTCTTGCCCTAGAACTCAGGTGTTGCTTGCACTTCCATTTTACAGATAGGGCTTATCTGTATGCAGACTGTTGGTTCATTGCCTCTTAGGCAGATGCACTCTGACTTTGAATGAAACCCAAACCAATAGACTCTTACATGTTTTTTTTTTTAAGGAGGCAGTGGGTCTATTCTTGTTTTCCCCCATAATGAGATCCCATAACTCACATGGGAAAACTGAGGATTCAAATCTAGGACTCCGGCATGAGAGACTAGCATTTTAACCACTCGACCAGCTGCTTCTTTGACTCATATACATTTCTCCATTTTGTTTTTCCAGCAACTATCAGGCCGGAATACAAGAGACAAGAAGCTGGAAAAATACTGGCCGAATGTATCGCAGAACAACATCAAGAAATTGTAGCATAAATAGTCGATTCTTGAGATCTGTATCAAAGCAGATGTTCCCCTTCAAAATCACCCTTAGATCACTCAAGCAAGCAGATAGACTGGTTCTGCACCACTTGGTGATGAATTGGTACATTACAAGCAAGATGTTGTGAGGGCCCTTTGGGAGTAAGTTAGGAGTGCAGATAGATCATTACAGTCTGAGGAAAATGGTGCTGGAGGGAGTTACAAGGGATCTGGCTGACGCTCAACACTCAAGGGAAAGGCGAGATGGATGTACAATAAGACAGTTACTGGTACCATTGGAATTGGGACTCTTTGATTGCTGCTGAAGATGATTCTTAACTCAACATTCACCCCTAGCTCCCAGGCCAACCCAGCCTAAAATGGGCACCAATTAATGTCACAGGAAGTAAAGATGGCCAGCCTTTCTGTCTATTAAAACTGTGGAATGCCTTTCACTTGTGCAGCAGTGTGTGTCATGGTATTTAGTATAGGAGATAGCTGGTTTACAGGTTGTATGGTGAAATACCTTATGTAATAAGTTTGCATGTGCATGGCCAACTTATCGTGACTTACTACTTCCATAAACGACAAACTGCATTTCTGGTGGTGAATGTTGGCTTTGGCACCTCTAGCAACTACCTTTTGTATTTACAGAGTGCAGAAATTTCTGGATTGAAGTGGGACTAATTGTTTGTTTGTTCACCAGTTTTTCACATGGGACAGTGAGGGACATTGAACATGTAGCACAGTTATATTTGGGCACTACAAAACGGTTATGAAGTGAACCTCTAATCCAGTGTGCCTGTGTCTTATGATAGAATGTAATCCTAAGGGGAAAAAAACCAGAAAAACCAATTCAATGATTTATTTGCAGTAAGCCCCTTTCTTGTTTATTTGCAAGATGTCATATTAATATAATAAAGTACATGTTTGACATTATCAACATCAAACTAATTTCATTTTTCATATCTGATAAACATGTCATTACAAAGGGCCCTAACTTGCATGTTTTGAATGTGGAAGGAGTTCATGGAAGTAGTTTAACCCTGTTGCTCCAAGAATGCAAACAATAAATGGGTCATGGCCCAATACATGACTGATAAATTTAAAAAAAAAAATTAATCATTTAGAAATTTAAATTTTCCCTTAAAATATATAAAGACACATAAGAGGAGTGGTCTTCTCTTCTTCTGCCTTTCTAACCCCCAATGGAGCATAGGACCTCAACCAACTCACGTCAAGTCATTCTATGCTTTACTATCACATGCAGCTCTTCCCATGTCCTCTCCATCTTTTTAACACCACTCTCTAGCTCCCTTCTCCATGTGTTAATTCCCTCTATTCTGCACAGGCACCAGTTAATGAATGTTTGTAGTTTATTAGTAATTGCCTTGCTGTTCTTAAGCTTTCTAAACGTGTGTCCTATCCAACGCCAGCATCTTTTCTTCACCTCTTGGTCCACTGGAACTCATTGAGTTCTCTCCCAAGGCTCTATATTAGTGATGCTATCACACCCCTTAATTCTCTCTGTTCTTTGCAGGCACCAGTAATGAATTTTTGTAGCTTATTAGTAAGCAGAGTAAGCAATAATTAACATAAATACGGTGAAGCATTAAATGGAATATAATTCCCTGGGGCTTAAAAAAAGAATAGGTATCAGGTGACTCATGTGCACCCTGTGACCTTGATAAATGGTTTATACAGAAATTAGATGTTGACTTGGCTTTTAAAAAAAAGCTATTTAATTCACAGGTAAACATGCCTAAATACTATTTTTAGCAAATATATTCATATCTGGACCCCATAGTGTTGGTACAGGCACAAACTCAGCCATTAGTGTTAGCTATGCATCTGTGAAAAAGTTATATTTACCGGGAATGTGACCCAAACAGTTTTTTTACCAAAAGCATTTCAGGATCCTCTCCGGTGCTACGGAGTTTGTGCATTGCGCTGAGATTCTTCGAACTCAGTCTTGAGTTAGAAGTAGAACGGAGCACTTATGGGTTACCACCCTTGTGCCATGATGTTGATCAAACTGAAACAGAAACCCTTACCTGCACAGAACTGAAGATTGCACCAGGTTGGTGTGGCAATTACAGGCACCCTAATTATAACTTTACTAGAGGTTGAATGAGGTATAATGGACTTGCCCTGTTGGTCTGCCATCCAGATTATTCCACTTCTTCTTCTTATTTGTTCACCGGGTGTAAGCTCCTGCAGAAAGTTCTGGTGATTCAGCCACTTCTGATGAGGATGATGATGTTCAACCTCACCAGGATATCACGCCGAGTGATAAACATCCGGTGACATAAAGTGCCACCACTCGGATTAGGATCACCTTAGGACAGGTCCCAGAATCCCTGTTCAACCTGTAGGCTGGGTTAAATTAGGGCCCTTGGCAACAGCTGAGGTAGGGCTTTGAAACAACAACAAATTGTGTTCGACATTGGGATGCACAGTAGTATGTATAACGTCCACTTCTGTTCCAGAACTTTATTTATGTGTGTACAGTGTTTTACAAATCTGGTTTATTTGTATGCAGACTGCTGGTCCTTCGCCTCTCAGGCATATGTGCTCCTACTTTGGATGAAAAAATTCCTAATTAGTCGACCTTTACACCACACTTGTTAGGGATGACAGCTGGTTTATTATTTAAGAAAAAATTTTCTACTTCTTCTTTTGTTCACTTGAAATAGATTATCTATATCTGCATTGTTGTCTCTAGTATGAACTTCACTGTCTTTTGTAATTCACTCAGTGACCCGTAAAGTTTGACTTAAGCCGATGTTTCTCTTGGCCAAAAGTTTTGCCTGGATATGTTGTATTTGGGACAGTCTTGGAGGTCATGATCTGTTGTCTCGGGTGCTTTTTTAAATCTAAAATGGGGCCCAGGAACACACATGGGGAAGTTTGTCGAAGCATAAAGGGAACTAAATATGAGACGAAAAAAACCACACATTCACATTTGATATAAGAGAGAAGCCAGAAAACAGATCTGGAATGTACAGATCGCAGTAAAGAAAGCTGAGATGAGTTTAAAACTGACATCACAGCATTCAAGATATTCCATAAACACACCGCAACAGGATTAACACCATCAGCTGTCAAGATATTTCCTTTATTTCTTGACTATTCTTGAATTCATCCCATTTAACTGTGAACATATGCAGACGCCAGTAAATGACATTAAGTAGAAAGGCAATAAGCTCAGAAGTTGCTGGTTTTACAGCATGCAAGAACAAACGTGTATAAAATATTCATGTATACAAATGTGGACCAAGAACTAATGGGGAAAAAACATTTTTGTAAAAATCTGGTTTGCTAAGCTGGGATACAAAACTGCATTATAAAAGGCTATAAAATTATAATTTTGTGTGTGACATTTCTTCTCTTTTATTTCCACATGTAGAGTTGAAATAATTGTTGTGGGAAGGTTTACTTGATCAACAAATGACCTGACAAAGTCAGATGTGTTGACCAAATAGGCAAATATGCAAATATCGCAGCTTTGCTGAAAGAGGGCAAATGTAATTATTTCTATACACAGAAATCTGGTGAGGGCCCAAAAAAAATGTATTATTGCTTCTGGGTCAGTTTGGTAAAATCAGTATGTGTGCAATCAGTGTGTTTGTAACTGGTGTATGTGTGCAGTCAGTGTGTTTGTAACTGGTGTATGTGTGCAGTCAGTGTGTTTGCAACTGGTGTATGTGTGCAGTCAGTGTGTTTGCAACTGGTGTATATGTGTGCAGTCAGTGTGTTTGCAACTGGTGTATGTGTGCAGTCAGTGTGTTTGCAACTGGTGTATGTGTGCAGTCAGTGTGTTTGTAACTGGTGTATGTGTGCAGTCAGTGTGTTTGTAACTGGTGTATGTGTGCAGTCAGTGTGTTTGTAACTGGTGTATGTGTGCAGTCAGTGAATACAAAAGGGAAAGACATCAGTAAACCTTACAGTAAACAAGAAAACACTAAGGCACCTCTACGCTCTAAGATGTAAAAGAAAAGCGCTCTTTTCAGGCAACTGGTACATCAGGAATAATTCGCTGGACTCATAATTTTATGGGCCAGCCGGAAATCAGTGGGTGGTATGGTCAACATTATGCTGACCGCATTTACTTCCTAAGGCAAATCTTCATAGCGATTTTAAACCTGGGAGCTCCAGGTCAATTATTAAAAATCTGGCCAGTGTGAATTTGAACCCAGACCTTCTGGCCAAAAGACAAGTATACGGTCAGTGTTCTTACATAGCAGGATGGCTAGAAAAATCATTAAACAATCCTTGGAACTAACACAGAAGACTTCTTTTTCTTCAGTTAACTCATCAAAGCGTTGAGGGGGAAAAGGGGAGGGGTTTGTAAGGATATTCTCTGTTCACTTTCTAAGGCATTGTATAAAATGATAACATAGAAATGTATATTATACAGCATAATATCTTCTTCTTCGGCATTCCAAACTCTTGAGGTTCATTGCTGCAGATATCCCTGGGTCAAACATTATGAGCCACAAATGTAGAAAGGGGGAGGTGGTGGGGGGGGGGGGGGGGGGGGGGTAAGGATCTTCTCTGTTCACTTTCAAAGGCATTGTAAAAATGATAACACAGAAATGTATTTTATACAGCACAATATCATCTTCTTCTTCAGCATTCCAAACTCTTGAGGTTCATTGCTGCAGTTATCCCCTACCTCCATTTATCTCTCTCGGTGGCCTTCTCTTTCCATTTGGTGACACCAAGTGTTTTTAAGTCTGCCTGGATATTATCTCTCTATGGTAGTCTTGGTCTTGGCCTTGTGGTCTATGCTCTGTAATATTCATTTAGTCTTTTTTGTTCGTGTCCATAGATTGCTTGGGGTTGTTAAGTTATTTAGGATATACAGCGCAGACTGCATAATTTGATCTCAGATGTGGCGATTTTCTGTTGTGAAGAGCAATTTGCTTATCTCCGGCAATTTTTCTTGCTTGAACTATTATCTGGATATGATGAATTTCTGGTAAGGAGAACTATTTCATGGGTCCCTGATGAGTTGTCCTGAACAAAGAAGACTAAATGAATATTACAGAGCATCTTTTTCTTCTCAAAGTCACTGTGTTGTTGACACAGTTGATCCTCCATGCCATGTCGTCATCTTTCCTCTTGGTCTCCCTCTGCTTTTCCTCGCCTCCGACCTTCCTACTGTCACCATGTACTTCAGTTTTCTCCTTCTCATCACATGAATAAGGAATCTAGATTGTCTCTTTCAGATGTGGACAATTAGTTCTCTTCATGAGTCAGTTTTTTCAAGACATTCTCATTCTCATGTGGGCAATCAATTCTCTTCGTAAGTCAGTTTTGTTTTAAAAGACGTCCTCATTATTCTTTTTATCTGTTCAGGGTATTCTCATCATTCGTCTATATACAGAGCATCATCTACCCTAAATATTACAAAATCCGATTCAATCTCCAGAGGTGTGGACACACAGAGGAATAGACTGTCTCATAAAAATAAAATATTCCCCTGTGTTTTCTGGGGCCCCATTGAGGGGAAAACAAGAATAGTCCCAGTGCCTCCCCAACAAGCATGTCGTTAAAGTTGGCTAAAAGGGGGCTTACTTCAAATCTGGAGTGCATCTGCCTGAGAGGCAAGGAACCAACAATCTGCATGCAAATGAGTCAGACCTGTAAATTGGATGCACATGCAACGCTCAGTTTCTGGAACAGGACTAGAGTCCAGAAGTGGACAAACAAACAGATCTTTTTTGCTGGAGTTTACAGCTGGTGAATGCGAAGAAGACTAAACAGCCATGAAGCAGTTTCTAGACACTAACTTAGAAGATTAAATGTATATTTGACAGCATCATACACCCTGTTAACACAGAATATCAAATAATATCATGAAGATGGAAATGTTCCAGATCTATAGCCTGCCACACGTGGAACTGCTCCGCTGCGGCGAAAGGCTTGCTCAGATAAGGATTCATCTTCTGTACTACTACCGCTGCAGCATCGACCTTTTTTGTTAGCGCTGTTTCGTAAGCTGACTGAATTACTGCCTGTCTGACTGCTGATGCTGCCACTGTCCTCAGGAGGCAGCATTCTGGCTGTTGGGGGGGAAAATGCGTTAAAGTAAAAACAATCTAACCAACTTTACAGAAATGAAGTTTGGGTGAAAGTCTATCATCTCTGACAAGATTAGGGGATGCTTGGCTTTCTCTTTCCAGTTGATGACACTAAATATTTGTAGGTGTGCCTTCCTTTAACATTCCAGGGTTGTTGTCCCTTCAGGTTTATCCAAATTCGAGGCTTAGATATCGGTTTTGTGATGAAATTAGGTTTTTACAAAGATGGGGGGGGGGGGGGGGGGGGGGGAAGGTCCTGCATTTCAACTCTCAACCTTGTAAGGAGTCATTTTCTAATTGTTGTTACATTTTCTCATTGTTGGTACATTTTCTCACTGTTTGAAAATGAGAACAACGACAATTAAGTGTGAAAATTCAGATGGATGGCATTCATTACTAATTATAATGTGTGCATGAACAGATCAAGAAAGTGATACTAACTCAAGACAAAGGTGCAGTTAGGCTGAAGTGTGCCCGACGAGGAAGCTGGGAAATTGTGAGTGGAATTTTTGAGTGTTCGAGAAGTAGAAATTAATTAAACTTGAAACGACTAAGAAAGCTAGGTCTTGTTTTCAATCTTGTGACAGTCTGGTCCTATGGCGCTTGGAGAGTGAGAACTAAATGTATCCACGAAGTAAGTAAATGTATGATCAAGCTGTCGACCTGTTTTCTGAGAAAACCTGGCTATACTTGTAGCCCCTTTACACTGGGATGGATGAAAATCATCTGCTGTGAGTTCAAGTATTTATGAATGCAATTTTGTAAGACCTAGAGTGCCAACAGTTGCAAGTACGTTAAATGATAACTATGGTCAGGACACAGATGTGTATTCAACTGTTCTCGAGAAGCTGTCACCCTAGACATCCAATCCGTGGCTCACTGACAGAGAGGAACATCATTGGAGCAATAAACATTTGTTGTCAACAGTTCAGTGTTCTCGATGTGTGTGCTAGTTCAAGCTTGCTGTCTTGAATTATCTGTCAATGTGGTGGAGCAGACTGCATGCAATAAGCCCAGAAGAAGCATTGCAACCTGGAGGGCCAGAGTTTCTCTCATTGTCAGTTCTCTACCCTAGGATCTGTCCGGCCTGGGAGGCACTGCTGGTAGCTATGCTATCGTTTGTATAGCTCTACGGGTCATTGAGAAGATAATGCTTCCCCACCACACGAAGGAAACTAGGAAAACTAACTTTAGATTTCAACATGAGCGCTAAGCTAAGAACCCACATCACAGCACTCATGAAATCCCCACAAGTGCTCTGTCCTCATCTTCAGCAATGAATGAAGAGTTCCAGTGCTGATGCTGCCTTTAGCAGTTTCAGTGTACATCTTAAATTAGTAATGCAGTGGATACCTTCCCACTGTGGAGTTCCCGGAAACGAAAAAGCTGATAAACTAGCTAAGGAAGGTGCAACTGAAGAACAACCTGACATACCAGTCTCTTATCAACAGAAGAAGAGAATGATCAAATCAATCAGAATGCCACCGAAACTGGCACAAGATGATTACCATATTATGGACAGACCAGAGCAAGTTATTATCCTTCGCCTTAGAACAGGGCACAATAGACTTCGCTCCCACATGTACAACAAATTTAAGATTGGCCAATCGGCCATGTGTACTTGTGGACTGGCACCTGAAACAACAGATCACATCCTTCAAGACTGTCCCATATTCAACGCTTTCAGGCAAAACATTTGGCCAAAAGAGACACTTGTGGAAGTCAAACTTTACGGGCCGCTTAGTGAATTACAAAAGACAGTGAAATTCATACAAGAGACGGCTTTGCAGATATAGACAATTTATTTCATGCGAACGAAAGAAGAAGAAGTGTACATCTGTCTTGCCTTACCTTTGGTCACTCCTAGCTGTAACATTCTCTCCAGACCATAATGATCTGTGCCTCTACACTGTTCACTTGCTCCCAAAGTGGTCTTGACCACAGCCAGCTTGCCCTGCATAAACTCACCACCAATTAGTGCAGAACCAACCAGTCTCTCTGCCTGTTTATTTAAAAAATGCTTATGACCAAGGACCTGTGAAACATATATTATTAATAAGACAAAACATAGCTCCATGCTAACAGTCTGTATGATTCCTAATTCTGGATCTTCGGTTAAAAAAAATGTTACATGCATGTCAGATAAATATATACACACCGATTTTGTCAAATAATTCTGGAACGTTTGTTGCTGTCATGGCGCTGGTTTCACAAAAAATTGCTCCAATTTCCCGTGCATACTCTTGAGCATCTGAAACAAATTATTTTTTTAAATGTTGGATCTTCTGCTTTTGTTAATGTGTATGATTGTTTGTATGTGAAAACTAAACACTCAATGTTGAAATCATCAATTAGCAGGTCCTTTATCACAGCACGCCTGACAGTCTCTTTCTCTAGCCAATTCTCCAGCCCAATGTGCTTTCACAGGCAATGCCTCTGCAATGTCTTGTATCCGTCCTTGCAGAGGTCTACCTCTGCTTCATTTTCCAGAAAGTGCACCACCCATTACAATTCTTTCCAGACCACCATGACATTTCACACGGCTAAAATAGCTCAGATGTTGGCAAACTAAAGAGAATTCTACTTCTTCTTCGTACATCTCACTGTATATATCTTAACTCTGTCACAATAAACATCCCATTATGTATTTCTTGGTGCTTCTAAAGATAATCTGACATTATTTTTTGCTTCTATCACAGATAGTTATTATTACCCATTTGTATCCAAAAGACTGGACAATCCGTCAAAGGTGGAGGCAGTTAATCAGATAGTCAACAGCAACTGGTGACCCAAAGAGACGCTGTATTATGGGAAATTAATCCAGTGAACTGTGACTAAAATGCTTAATGAAATGGGGAAGCAAAACAATGTACACAAAACAACATCAATTGATGTTACGGTCGGATCCTTTCTTGACATGAGTTAACTACACAACAATAACAAAGGGGAGAGTACTTCAACCCTCAAGGGGTCATGTGAAAAACTATTTTTGTTTTTTTTTGGGGGGGGGGGGGATGTGGGTTGTGGAATGGATTAAGGAAGGCTCGATAAATAGTCGGAAACGTAATAGTGATAATATATAACAATAGTAGGAATAAAAAAGTAGTAGAAATACAACTGTTAATGATCCATAAATGTACTGATAAGAGAATAAAAAATTATTAATATGAAATAAAATAAAATAAGCATAAAAAATAATAAAATTAAATTCCAAATATTGTGACAATAGTGAAACTGTTTAGATGAAGAAATGCTGGACATTGATGCCTCCTGGACTTAGAACACCTAGACTGTGAATTAGGTGATTTTCCCAAAGCGAAGTGCATGGGTATATAGGGCTAGAACTATATTTTATAGACCAATCAGCATTCAGTTGGTGATGTGGTCAACATCACGCTGGCCACTTTTACTTCCCAGGACTTTACCTGGTACCCATTTAAGGCTTGGTCAACCTTGAAACTAAGATTATTTCATGAAAAAAGTCCAGCTCCATTAGGATCTGAACTCCCCAGATATGGTTTATATTTTTATGTGAAAAGACTAGGAAGCCAACCGACCCTATACTCTTACATTACAATATGCCTTGTAGGGTGTGTCATATAGTCAGTGCAGCTAACATTTCTTCCTTTTATAGTCCAAGGTGTGTGACACTGGCAGTCACGTCTATCCACAACCTTCTGTCTTGTGTCCTTTTAATCAACTCAAGAAACAGATTATTTTCTGTGCCACAATGTTAAACTGTCTAGCATCTTCTCTCTCTCAGTCCCCCTCTGCCTCTTTCCCCTCCAACTTTCTCACCATCACGACATACTCCAGGTTTCTCCTCCTAATGACATGACCAAAGAATGCAGATTGTCTCCTTCAGACATCTTCATTACTTTTTCTATCTGCCCATTTATTCTCATCATTCATCTATAAAATCAGATATCCCCTGCTTCCAAATAATTTTTCACTAAATGTTTAACTGTCCATGATTTACTTCTGTGTATCAGGATAGGATTTATATAACAGAAACCTTGAAAGTTTGACTGTGGAAAAAACACAAAAAGATGGTGAACTGACCTCTTTCTTGGACTTCTCTCAGGTCTTCAAGGTCACACTTATTTCCAGCAATGGCAAGGACAATTTTGGAAGGTCCATGTCTCTGCAGCTCATGCACCCAACCCTTCACAGCATGAAATGAACTCTGTAATCACACATGTACAGCAGTTAACAGCAGTTGAAAATATTTCCCTCAGTTCTGTAATTCTGCAGTTTTAAATACAAACAAAATTGTTCATGGAGGAATTAATTAATTCTCTTTTTGTCATGTGGGTTCTGGGGCAACATTTTCGGGGGGCAAAAGAATACACTCATTGCCCCCAAAAAGCCGATCGTAAAAGTCAACTATTTAAAGAGGTTTCCTTCAAAGTCGGAGTGCATCTGTCTCAGAGGCCAGAAATTAAGTCAGCATACAAATTTGCCAAATCTGTAAAATGTATGTGCATGCAAAACTTCTGGAACAATACTTAAGTCCAGAAGTTAACAAACAACCACAACTTTCTGCTGGAGTTTACAACCTGTAAATGCAAAGAGTATTCTTCTTCTGTTTGCCATTAAAAGGGTAAATGGCATGTTGTGGTTTACAGCTAGGCTGTGATATCTGCACCTTCTGGCCCAACCCACCCAATTTTAACAAATCTGTAATTACTTACCTTTCAGAACATGCTTGGTGGGGGGTGGGGTGGGGGGATTAGGTTAACCCTTTGGAGACGGAGCCTTATCTGGAGTACAGTGCCAAGAAGATGAAACCTTCAGAAGGTGACTAAATTTAACAATATGAGAAATTTTTTCTCAGGCATGAAGCTTAAATTAGTCCTAACACATGTGTACTGGGAAGTAAGCCCCATGGAGGCCCTCTAGACACCTCTGGTACATGGTTCTACCCCTTTTCCAGGCCCCTGCCATATTTTGGTTGCTGTGACGCAACAGTCCATTTCATCACTGTTGGGCACAGGTAAACCCACACACAAAAATCAACCTAAAATTACATAAATCAATAAACTTTAATGAAAGCCGTCACTAAACGGCCAACATGTTCAAGAAATGCAAGAAGAAATCTGATTAGCTGGTATGAAGACCAGGCAGCTAATCTCAGGGCTTATATTACTGGGCCTACAGATCTGCCTAATGTCTTTTTGGCTATTTATAGCTGTTGGGCCAATAAATTGGTATAGTTGTCTCCAAAAGGTGAATACCTTCCTCCCCCCCCCCCCCCCCCCCCCCCCCCCCCCCCCCCCCCCCCCCCACCCCCCCCCCCCCCCCCCCCCCCCCCCCCCCCCCCCCCCACCCCCCCCCCCACCCCCAAGAAGTCCCTAAATTCACATGGAGAATCAGTTTACTATAAAGTTGTGTGGAAAAAATGTAAATCCAATGATGAACAAAACCAGTCAACTTCACAATACCAGTCATGAAGGACAAAATGAATGCTGTGGCTAAAAAGCTTTCATCAGCATCATCATTGTTCTATTTTCCCATTATATGTCATGTAGGGCTCACAGTCTATTCCTTCATTCCATTCAATCCTGTGCAGTTCCTCTGATGTCATGGATGGAATCCAGCCCAGTGCCTTTGGCCTCTCTCAACAATGTTTATTTTAGGGTTTCTTTTAGCACTTTCAAAATGCCTAAGCAGACAAGACTAATGCCATCATTTTCTAAGGAATGAACCAATACAAGCACAGAGGCCAAACTGGCAGGTGGTGGAGCTAAACAGGCATTCATCAAGCTTACTTCCCTTGGCATGCTCCTTACCTCTCTGGTAACATCATAGACAATTATAGCAGCTGCGGACCCTCTGTAATACATCGGAGCTAAAGCACGATACTGCAAAGAGAAAAAAACAATTACATTCCAGCTACAGGAAATAAAGATACAAATGGACTGGACAGATTTATTTCTTTGTTTTCATGATGTTTGTTACCTAAGTCTACCAAGGATAATATCTTAACTCTTTCAGCTAGAGAGCAGCCATGAACAAGAAGAAAAAAACCGACTATTCCGATTGGATCTAATTCCCTATAAATGTCACTTTTCCTATTTGTCTATAGTGACCTGTTTATGAGATGCACAGTTAATGCTGTTGACTGTTTTCACACCTGCACAAACGTTTAGGAAGTCAGGATATGAATATATTGACTAAAAATAGCATTTAGATTATTTTTGCCAAGTTTACGTCAAATATTCTCATAAGCCTAAGTGACAGGGATCACTGGGTCACAACATGAGTCACCTGATGCATACTTCAGAGTTTTAACCTTTCGCTGGCTGCTGAAGATGGGGAGAGAGCGCTTATAGGAATGCCCCGAGTGCTGTGATATTGGTTCTTAAAACTAAGCTCCCAAAATAAAAATGGAAAGATATAAAATTCTATGAGTGAAATTTCAACATTCAGGAAAATATTTTCCTCAAGAGCCGTGCAGTCCTTGAGATACTCACACAGAGAGAGAGAGAGAGAGAGGCAGAAGATAGAGATAGAGAAAGAGCAAGAGAGAGAGAGAAGGGAAATTTAATTTCAGTTTTGAATTGATTTAAACATCAAACATATTTTATTTATGGCAAGTCACTTTACATACACAGATTAGCATGGAGCTCCTAACTCCTGCAGCTTCCCGGCAAGTTCCCAGCCGGCCCAGGTGTTAAAATGGCCTGTTCATCAGCACAACTTACTTTTATTTTCATTTCAGAAACGACAAGCCTACCTTTTCCTGGCCAGCGGTGTCCCATATCTGAAACTTGAATGTGTCGCCATCGACAACAATAGTTTTGGTCATAAATGATGCCCTGTGAAGAAAATCAAATTTGAGATTAGAGTAACTTCATTTTCATTTCACCTGCGAAAGAGTAGCTGGCATGTTGTAAAGTGGTTTACAGCTAGGCTGCAATATATGCACAAATATCTCACTTCAGCAAAATCCCAATTTTACTTGTGTGGGTTCCTGGGCTCCCATTGTGGGGAAAACAAGAACAGACTTACTTCCTACCCAAAGACATGTAGTAAGAGTCAGCTAATTGGGAGCTTTCTTCAAAGTCAGTGTGCACTCATATCCTGGCCTATTAAACACTGCGCATTCAGAAACAGGTCATTGCAGATGGGCCAATATACTGGCATTTATGAGACTTTAAGGTAAAGTCAGGAGATGTGAACCAGCGTCACTGCACACGGTTATAAACCATAAGTGCCCTGCCACCAGTAAGAACAGCTGATAAGAAACTGTCCGCCTGTGTCGCCGTCCGCACGTAACTCTGTAGCTACAGCGACGTTCCTCCATTTACCCCAGTGTGTCACTCTGGTACCCATTTCCTAGAGGTTGAGTGAACCTCGGTAACCGCCCGGTTTTGAACACTGGCCATGGCTGCAGCGAGTCGCAGCTGGATTTGAAAGCGAGCCTCCTATCGACTGCACTAACGCGGCTCCCAAATGAGACTCTGTCACAACCAACAATGACTGGGTTTAGTCTTCTTGGGACAGCAGGGTTAAACTTTGTTGGGGTTTAGACATAACAATAACAGTATAAAGGAATGGTTTCTGGAAGGAGATTCTGGGGCTGACAATTATGTAGGTGAACAGAGGACGTTAGAGACACTTTGGGCATATGGGATAATACTGGCAGAGGTGTGTGCAATGTTAGGTTTTCACACAGACTAAGTCACAGCTAAGCTGAGTTAAGAACTTTTTCTTCTTGTTCATGGCTGTACAGTACCGCAGAAAGTTCTGGTTGTTCGTCCACTTTTGGACTTTGATCTTGTCCTTTAGATTTGCATACAGATCTGACTTATTTGTATGCAGACTGTTAGTGCCTTGCCTCTCAGGGAGATTCACTCGAACTTCAAAAGTCATACCCTAATTATTCAACTTTTACGACATGCTTGTTAGGGAGGTAGTGGGTCGATTATTTTTCACCCAAAATGGTGACCCAGAACCCACACAAGGAGATTTGAGAACTGACATCACAGCACAAGGAACATTTCCATAAGCCCTACATCTCCATCTTCAGCAGGCAGCAAAAAGATCCAGCGTAGTTGGTACTAGCAGCAGTTTTATTAAATGTCCGTCTTGCCTTTCCTCTGAGTTTAGAGTGCAGGTCAGATCTCCTGATCAATATCCGCTACACCGGTGTTTCCCCAACTTTTCTTGGTTGCGGCGCCTTTTTTTTTTCAATAAAAATGTTTCCACGGCGCCCTAACCTACGTAAAAGTATAACTATTTGTGTCTTGGTTAAATTATTACGAAGCTTTTACAATATTTCCCTAGGTCAACGCGGCACACATATTGGGAATCACTGCACCACTTCATTATTCCCAGATGGTAAGAATAAATTGACACACCTGCATTGTTTAGTTGCTCCCAAAGGGCCTTAACCACATCTTGTTTGTCACGCATACATTCACCACTCAGTCTCACAGCTACATATATGGTAGAATTCCAAAACTCTATTAGAAGTTAAGAACTCTGGGTATTCCCATAAATGCTCTGTTCCTATCTTCAGAAGCAAGCACATGGGAGTTCTGACATGGAAGTGCCAGTTTTAGTCTGATCATCTTTTCATTTGGCTTTCCTCAGAGCAATGGGTGCCTACATGATGCTCTGGTACCAAAAGTTTTTATCTTTCCTTCTAAACAGTTAGCATTCTTTTGATCTTTTCTCCGTGGAATGCAGGTGTATTGGAAAATGAAAAGGCAGGCAGACTGGCTGGTGCTTCAGCAACAGGTGGTGAAATTATGCATGACAATCTAGATGTGGTCAAGGTCCCGATACCGTCAACATTATAGCTTTTTGCTAGCTGCTGAAGATGGGGATGGAACACTTATGGGAATGTTCCGAATGCTGAGATCTTAATTCAGCTTAACATATTCAAGACTGCAATGACCCATGCTCTTCTACTGGGAGATAAAATGCAACCAAACGTGGTGAATAAATTAACCATACCCTATTGTGCTTTCCAGTGCACTTTTGAACGTATTCGTGACAAATCTCATAACAATGCTGGACTTGCCAACACCAGACTCCTGACAACAACAAAAAAACATCTTATTGAATGTAAAAGATAGTTGTACTGTTGTAACTATTTGGTGCTGAAAATAAGGTTGACTGCAGTGAAGCTGATTTAAATTTTTTTTTTTCAAATATGTAATTGTTTTGTACAATTGAATGTTTCAACTCTCTAACAGGTATATTCAGACAATCACAGTTTAAACTTGTGGATTTTATCATGGTATGGGGCATCACAGGTCAACCCAGCCTAAAATGGGTACCAGGATGGCTGACCTAGAGAAGTAAAGACGGGCCGCACAATTCCTAATGCTGACCACATTACCCACATAGTGCCGATTGGTCTGTAAAAATATGGGTGCTCTTCCCACATGCCCGGTGCACCTAAAGGCGTAAAAATAGATCTTTACTTCACTTACTTACAGTTTAAACTTCATAGCAAGCTGGTCACTACATAGCTGTGCCGTTCCTGTGCCACACACAGAAACCCACACAGAATGTCTATCACTGTCACTTGTGGAAAATCTGACACAGACTGAAGTCTCAGCACATCCAACAGCATACGGTCAGAAACATGTATTAAATGATATAAGGCAGCGGTCAGAAGTACTAATACAAACAGTACAACACTAGAAATGCAGTTCATAAAAATCAATGTGAAAGGAAAACAATACATGAATTACCAGTACACTTAAGACCTACAAGTTTAAACTATAGTGCAGTGGCTGTAGGTTCGATTTCTCATCTACTGACCTCAGCTCAAAGGTTGGCCCAGAGTGCCAGACTTAACTCAATAACTGTAGTAGTAGTAGTAAGTAACAAACGGCTACCAGGAACTGGAAATCTCTTGGAAAGCAAAGGCAACCACATCATTCCCATCTATAAAAATACTAAATAAGCACCACATACCCAACATGAAAAAAAAAAGACAAGCAAATTTGTATTTGTGCAGTAAGATTTAAGTTTTACATATGAATTTAATAGATTTCCGATGATTTTGAAATTTGCACAGAGTAGACCAGTGTGTACCTACCCCAAGAAGGCAGACTTTAATGTCTCGCATTGACATGATGTTTTTTTTTAGGGTCAAGGCTACGAGCTTCATTTATGTAGACCTTAAAATGCAGAATATGTGGCAGATGAACATTCAGTTAATTTAAATTACAGGTAATTTTGAGGAGCGACTGATTAATCTGTTACAAGTAAAACAGATGTATCCGTTCTTTTAGCTGGCTACGCCATTTTGCCTTTTGTTTTCATCACATGACCTCACATTCAGGGTCAACAACTCGACTTTTAAAATCACTACTATCATCATCTTGGGTCTTTGATTACCAACAATGGAAAGACGTTAAACGACAACTATCAGTTGTTCTTCAAAGACTAAAACAAGTGATTGAATTATGGAGTGGGACAGACAGAACTACAAAAATTAGATTTATAAGAGTATGCATCTTTCCCATTGCAACATATGCCTGTGAGATCTGGACACGTTCTAAACAAGTTGAACAGCTCATAAATGCCTTTGAGTTGAGTTCAGTCAAGAATTGACATCACAGCACTCGGGACATTCACATGCGTGCTCCGTCTTCATTTTCAGCAGCCAGCGCAGAGTTCCAATGCCTTTGAATTCAAACGTTAAAGAGGAGTTCTAAGAATATCATGGGTAAAGAAAAGAACAAATGCACCCATACTTCATGAACTGAATATTGAAGAAGGTTGGCTATTAAAGAGGATAAAAGACACAAAATCGAAATATTTTGGTCAGAGAGAGAGAAAGAGAGAGAGAGAGAGAGAGAGAGAGAGAGAGAGAGAGAGAGAGAGAGAGAGAGAGAGAGAGAGAGAGAGAGAGAGAGAGAGGAGCAGATAAAGATAAAAACAGTTCCTTGATAACTTTTTTAAACGACACCGGTTGAAAGGTCACAACAATGGCAGCCTCCATGCACGTCTGCTGGGGTTGACGAGTTGAAGGGTAGAGATTTCACGCCAAGCTTCTAAAGTTAGTAAAATATTTCTACCGATACACTAATTTTAAGTCAAAATGTAGCAACATAAGGACTACATCCATATTTATTGATTTGCATTCATAGGAGCCAGTATCAGAGGCTCAAATGTGCCAGGGTACCTAAAAAAAATGAAGCCGGGGTACTCCTGTCAAATCCGGACGAAGACTAAAAAGCCTTGGACGACTTAGAGTTCTCTCCCGTGGCCGCACTGCGAACAGTGATCGGAAAAGCCACAACGAAACAAAGAAGACAGTCACGTCGACATCAGGGCTGCCAATGCTTGGTTGTTTCCCCCAGATCTGGTTTTTTTCGACGCTGCAGGACAATTCTGGGTGTTTTTTTTTTGGGTGTGTTTTGTTTGTTGGTGTTTGCCGATTTGTATGCTTTAATGATCGATAAATTTGCGTGGTTAGGGGGTAGGGGTTAGGGTTAGGGAGTAGGATTAGGATTAGGGTTAGCGGTAGGGTTAGGTTTAGCGTTAGATTTGACAATTTTGACGCCGGAGTTCCCTATAATCGTGCACAGTCCCATACACACACACAAACAATCGAGGGCCTCTGGATGCTGGTCAAACGCACAATTCGCCAACGATTGGGGGGCACCAGCCGCACGCTATTGGCGTCATATTTGGCAGAATTTCAGTGGCGCCACTCCCACAAACATCATATTGTCGGCCAGTATTTCGAAATCCTACGTCAAAATTTTCACATCTAACCCTAACCCTACCAATAACCCTAACTCTAACCCTACCCCTAACCCTACCCCTAACCCTAACCCTACCCCTAACCCTACCCCTAACCCTACCCCTAACCCTACCCCTAACCCTAACCCTACCCCTAACCCTACCCCTAACCCTACCCCTAACCCTACCCCTACCCCTAACTCTAACCCTACCCCTAACTCTAATCTAACAACCGCATGATGATGACTACACAACCATTCACAATGCCTCACGCAACCGTACGCAACCCTGCACGCAACCATATGATGATGCCACGATGCCTCACGCAACCGTACGCAGCCCTACACGCAACCGCAGGATGATAGGTAAGTGTGTCGTTTGTTTCGTTTGTTTTCCGATCACTGTTTGGAGTGCGGCCAAGGGAGAGAACTCTGACTAAGTCGTCCAAGGCTTTTTATTCTTCGTCCGGATTTGACAGGAGAGCCGAAGCCGTTCGGGTATGTCAATTCGGCGAAGCTGAGATTTTGCATGTTCTTACTTTAGATACTTTAGTCAAATTTTTAAAATGCCTCTACACCAATAAAACCAGCACAGTTGGATAGCTGTAAACAATCTCTTTCCAACGGTACCTCATTTAGGCTTGTATGTCATTTCTGAGCTGAGATATTTAGGTTTTTGTGGAGATGAGATGTAGAAAGCAGCTGCTAAAACTTGCGTCTGAGAAACAAGAAGTTTTCTCTGCGCAACCAAACTGCGCAACTTTCGTTTTGACTTTGTTTTCATTGGACATGATGGCAGACAATTTTTCTCAGACACAGCTACATATTAGCGATTGCCTGAAAAATGTCACTGTACATCTAAACAGCCACAGACAAGAAAGAAATTGTATACACAAATGTAAAATTGGACGGAGAATTCAATTATAACTAGCATTACCATGTCTGGTAATGTTTAAGGCCTAAAGCCAACTTTGAATACTTATCGCTATTTTCAATCAAACTGATGTAACAGAAAAACAGAAGACATCCCGCTGTCGTAGACATGCGCTGTTAATCGGGTCCATTCCCGCCGTTTTCAGCTGTTTATAGCTGGTGAAAATCACACCAATCGCAAAATTTCATGAGAGATTAGGACCCATCCCGAAACCCCAGCTGACATTTCCCAAACAAGTTTTAAACGGTTTCCATGGTAACGGAAATTGCCAAAAAAGACCGCAAATTGTCGAAACTGTAGTCGCTACTTACTTTAAGTCCAGGATAGTCTTGTCATGTCTATCCACAATCTTGTCTCGTATACTTTCAGTCAGCTCTGACACAGATGATCTTCCACGCCATGATGTCAGACTATCCAGCAGCATCTTTTCTCTGTCTCCCTCTGCAGCTCTTCCCCTCCAACGTCCCCAACTCCAGCTTTCTCCTTCCCATGACATACATTTTAGTGATGAAAAGTAGCCCCACAAAATTACAGTGGAAAGTGGATGACGCAAGATTGCACCAGAGAGAATTTGACCTCATATGAAGGATCTATGATGCTCTTATTGTGTCTCCACTCACTGTCTTGATAACAGCTTGATAACAGCTTGATAACAGCTTGATAACAGCTTGATAACAGCTTGCTTGTCATGCGTTTAATTTTGAGTGGTGCAGAACCATCCATTCTGTCTGCCTGTTCATTTTGCGACACATCTGCATATCCTGGAGAAAATATCCAAAGGTTGCTAACTACCCAGGACCTCTGAAATAATGCTTTCTACTCTGAACGGAGCATACCTGTCTTCACCTTTCACAGCATGCTTTGGGGTCAGTACAATCACAAGACATGTGTGCAGCTGGTTCTCAACCCAGCGGAAGCTTGCAATAACATCAGTTCTCAAACTAGATGTTGCCATGTCATATGCCAGGCTTTGACACACGAAGGATTGCTCGTTCACTTTTGCTTTGAATCCCCATGCACTTTTTCTGCCTCTCACCGCAGAGCCATCGGTATAGATAACCACATCTCCCAAGCAGGGATTGTCATGAATCATTTGTTGAACTTCTGGTTCTGCAGTGCCTGCTGGCCAGTCCCTGCATTTCTGGCAGAATGTGATTAGAACCCTTCACAACTCTGTGTAATATAGGAAGTGAAGAAAAAGTAATATTTTGATTAACTCATACATTCACAGGCAAAAACATTCTGCTAAGACAGCGGATCTCAACCTGTGAGTCGTGACCCCTTTGGGGGTCAAATTACCCTTTCATAGGGGTTGCCTAAGACCATCAAAAAACACATATTTACTGAAGTTATGAAGCAGCCAGGAAAATAATCTTATGGTTGGTGGTCACCACGAGATGAACTGTATTAGAGGGTTGCATCATTAGACAGGTTGAGAACCACTCTGCTGGAAGACTGCGTTTTCTTACATTTGTTATTGTTATTTATTTCAGCTGTTGAGCAGCAGAATGAAGCTGAGAACAGCAGCCCTGGGGTATACATTGCTGTCAGCCTCTCCACACAGAAGACGGTGTACTGTCTGGTTCACATGGAAGGATCATATACGATGTATCTTCAGTAAAACTGGGAAATGGGTAAATGTTGAGTTCTGTTGGTATTATCGGGGGTTCTCCATGGTGACACGGTAAAGCCTTTTGTCTTGTTCTGTGAAGGTTATGGGTTTGTTTCACAGCTGCATCATTCGGTACAGGAGTGCAATTTTAGCAGAGACACCTAGAGATCATAACTGGAGCTATGATGTTCGCACTTTGTGCAACGCTTTTGGCAGGTGGTTAACCATTCTTAGAAAAGACACCGAGCCTTATGAGATAAAAGCGGGTGCTGTAAAGTCGATCCTCTCGACTTAACCTCTAACCCTTTCAAGGTATTAGCAGTGTTCACATAAATAAGTCTATCAGATATTCAGGGTTATAATTGGATGAAAATTGTTCGTTGTAATTTCAATGTATACTTTTTGTGTACTTACATATTATATGATTTATGCATTTTAAAAAATCATTTAGAATTTGACCACACCGAATATGGACTGCGAAAATATCAGACACTGAAAAGTACTATATACGAGGTGAACAGAAGAGCCTGTTGCAGAGATCTCTTCCTGCTCTGATGCTGCGAGGCATTCCAGGAGTAGAGAAAAGAAGAAGAGGAGGAGATGGCTAGTTTAACTAGCAAGATCAGGTTACAAAAGAATCTTCCCCAAAAAAATGCATGAAATATCAGGACCATTGTTGCCATCCATGCACACAATCATGTGCGCGCACGTACGCACGCACGCTCGCTCACTCACTCACCCACTCACTCTCTCACTCACTCACTTTCCATCGTTCGTCTCCATGTTGTTTTTGGGCGCCCCGTTTTCTCTTTCCCTCTGGTGTCCATGTGAGAGCTGTTTTGGCAGGTGAATCAGAAGTCATTCTCATAACG